AATTCGGGGGCTCTTTTGGGCTCTACTTTGGGGCCTGTCGTGAGCAGGGATGCTCTTTCTTCATTGAAAATTAGATTGAGTAAAGACTCGGGGACTGGGATAAAGGCTGGTCTGTATAGGGCTTTGGCAAACTCCTGGTAATAGAAATATGAATAATTATAGAAATATGAATAATAATAGAAATATTGATGAAATATGTATTTTTTGGAATTTCTTTGCTCCCAAGGGCTCAAATGATAAAAAAATTTATAAAAAATAATTTTCTGGGAGTTTTAGCTCTTAGTAGTAACATTTAGATAGTCCGCGATTCAATTAAAAGTTTCGTATATTTATTATTAACATATTTTCCTAAGTAAATACTTGCGCCATCTGTAATAACTTTGATGCCATGATGAATAAATATTTCAACTAGCGGTGTATGGCATCGTGCCTTAAGGCAAATTGCTGGAACTTCCCGGTACCGTAATGAAATATTCGAGAAATTTTAAACGTTTTCAAATATATCATTACAATAACTGTATCTTTCATTATTTTTGCTATCTTATTGTTATATCTGAGCAAATCAAATGTAAATCATAAATCAATTATTACATTAACAATCGTCATTTCATTTCGAATTCAATTTCAAAAAAAAAAAAAATAGTTGCCGAATTTTACACAAAATTGAAAAAGTGCTCCCGTATAGTCACAGTCTAAACGCATTTGCAAATAATTCCGTGCGACATTTTCACTTATACTGTGCTTAGCTTGGCGGCATTTTCACATTTTTCGATAGTTTTCTCACAAAATTGAAAAAGTGCTCCCGTATAGTCACAGTCTAAACGCATTTTCAAATAATTTTATGGGACATTTTCACTTATACTGTGCTTAGCTTGGCGGCATTTTCACATTTTTCAATAGTTTTCTCACAAAATTGAAAAAGTGCTCCAGTGCATAAACAGTCTAAACGCACTCGGGTAAACATTTGTACCAGAGTGGCGCTTAGACTGTGCTTAGCCTGGGTAATTTTTTGAAGTTTTAATCCAAAATTACAAAAATATTTTTTGAAAAAAAAAATTAGAAACAAAATTTTTTTTTCAAAATCAATTATTTTGTTAAGACAAGCAGAAAGTTCTTTGAATCATTTAAATCGGACGCTTAGTTCTCTCAAAAACTGCCATTTTTTACACATTTAGCTCCGTATCCTCGAAATGGCTGGGCCTGCCTTTGCCAAAAACTAATAACCACTTCTCCCAATCATTACTAATTGAATTTTTTTTTAGATCATTCAAATCGGATGTTCCGTTCTCTCAAAACCTCGATTTCTATTTTCTGCACTCTTTGCTCCGTATCTCCGTAACGGCTGGACCTGTCTTTGCCAAAACTAATCCGCACATCTCCCTATCAATAGGAATCGAATGTTTTTTAAACCATTCAAATCGGTTGATCCGTGCGCCTGAAAACGTAGACGAAATTTGTATCCACACACACATATCAATTTTTTCTGAGGTATGCCAAAGTGTTCAGAAACCTTCAAAACGTCGAGAAATGCAAAAATTTTCAATTTCGATTTTCGGCCCATAACCCTACGGGAAGTTAAAAACAGTCCACAGGGATTTAATTAGAGGTTAAGCGGTTTATAAATATTTTTAAGTGTCATAATATTCGAGTTCACAAATGCTATCACAGATGGCGCAAGGATTTACTTAATGACATACGTTAATAACAAATATACGAAACTTTTAATCGAATCGCGGACTATCTAAATGTTAATATTAAGAGCTAAAACTTTCAGAGAATTTTCTTTATCAATTTTTTTATCATTTGAGCCCTTGGGAGCAAAGAAATTCGAAAATGTCCATATTAAGGACCACCCAAAATATTAAATTACCTGTGTAAAATCATTATTAGTGATAACATGCGGCGACACAGCATTAACAATCCCACTAAGCTTTTCTTCCTGTATACAAAACCAAATAAGACTCGTCAAGTCCTCAATGTGTATCCAAGGCAAAGGTTGTGTACCTCTGCCTACGGGACCTCCTAAACCCAACCAAAACGGTAAAATTAATTGCTTAATCATACCACCGTCACGACCAAGAACTACACCAGTCCTTAAAATAATCTAAACAAAAAAATAAGGGATAAATTACAATCTACTGCTGGCAGTGAGTATTTTTATCCCTTGCCTGTCGTGTAGGTGAATCAGGTGGTAGTTTAAGCGCATGCTCCCATTCGGCACACAAATGATTCATAAAATCGAAATTACGTTTTTCAGGTTTATCAAAATTTTCAGAAACTGGTTTATCGGTGTTCAAAGGATAAGAACTGACGCCTGTTATGCCTATGAAGACTTTCGGTTTAGTTTTGGCATTGTTGATACATTTTGCTAAACATTTTGAGGTGTTGATACGAGAACTGTAAACGTTCTGTTTGAACCTGGAAAATAGACTCTGAGAAAACGTTTGGATAAATAATGACTAATAAATAACTAAAGCTATATCCATTATATATATATATATATATATATATATATATATATATACATATATACATATATATCGTTGATCATTTCTATTTATTATACCCGGGTGTCCACCGTCTGGTAGGATCCAAGACATTCTGTCCGGCAACGTTGACAACAGCAGTAATCCCTTCGGGTAAACCGAATTGCTCAAGTTGCAACCAGGATACATGTTTTGGTCCTGGCATACGTGATACAACAGTGACATCGCAAGAGTGTCCTTTTAAATAGGTGCATAGGGCTTTGCCTATGAAACCTGTGCCACCACCTAAAGATAAATGACAATTTTATTTAACACCAAAAAGATTATTTGAAATGCAATTTCAATACATGAAAAATATATACAGATGAGGTGGTTTTAATGATTTATACACAAATATAATGATTTTTGAACTAAATTTTGATTATATTAAGCCTTTTTCTATATTATCTTACCTACTAATACGTGATGAGCCATTATTTGTATTATTTACAAACTTTTGACACTTGACAGTTGAAAAAGTGAGGTTATGTCTTTGTTATTCAACACTTTGTACTGAAATTTATTTAATTGTAATTATTATACAATATTTAATTTAATTTGCACAAAAACTATGATAATTTTAATTTACACATTATCTTGTGTCATTTTAATATTTATTTTAATATTTTAAAGAAAATGTATCACTTTTTTGCGATTTATAAATATTTACATTTGACAGTTGTGAACCGGTGTGAAGTTTAAGTTATAAATTTATATTATTTAAAAATGATTTTTATTTTATTTTTAATTTTTATTTAATTTGTGTTAAAAATAATAAATTGTAAGTATGAAAAGACTAAATTTAATTAATATGTACATTGTTTAGGTTATTATTTATTATATTATAAATTTTTGATACTTTGTTTGACAGTTGAAAAAGTGAGGTTATGTTAATAAGTTGGATTTAAATAAAATTAATTATTTATTATTATTATTATTAATTAAATTAAATATTTAGTTCAATGTATAAAATGAATGAAAAATTGTATTCAGTTTATTTTTATCTTTTAATTTATAAATAATAAAATTGATCATTTTTTTATGATTTATAAATATTTACATTTGACAGTTGTAAACCGTTGTGAAGTCTTATATCTCTGTTATTTAATATTAAAATAAATTTAATTTTAATTTTCCATATTATTTAATTTGTGTTAAAAATATTAAATTGTAAGTATAAAAAAGAGTTAATTTAGTTAATATGAATATTATTTGAGTTATTTAATGTATTAAAAAACTTTTAATAGTTCAGTTTGACAGTTGAAAAAGTGAGGTTATGTTAATAAGTTATTTAAATAAAATTGATTTTAATTAAATTAAATATTTAATTTATAGTGTTAAATAAATAATAAATTAAATTTAAATTCATTCATTCAGTTCATTCTTTGTTATTTTAATATATAAATAATAAAACGGATCATTTGTATGTGATTTATAAATGTTTAAATTTCACAGTTGAAAAAGTTAGGCTTCAAATTAACCCTTTCCAGTCAGATGCCAAAATTTATTTATTTAAATCTCGAAATTCGCGAAAGAAGGGTTAATTTAATTATGAATATGTACATTGAATATTTAATTATTGTATATGAGTAATTACTATTAATATATAATTTAATTAGTTAAATACATATAACAATAAATATTGTAGGAATAAAATAAGATTCAATTTATTGACTAATGATTTTTGTTTAATACTATTTTAAATCAAAATTAAAAATTTTTACATTTCTTCACGTTTCAGAAATTTCTGAACATTTTGGCATACCTAAGAAAAAATTCATGTCTGTGTGTGTGTGGATACATTTTTTCGTCGACGTTTTCGGACGCACGGATCAACCGATTTGAATGATTCAAAAAACATTTGATTCCTATTGATAAGGAGATGTGTTTATTAGTTTTTGGCGCAGGCAGGTCGAGTCGTTACGGAGATACGGAGCAAAGAGTGCAGAAAATACAAATCGAGTTTTTGTGAGAACGGAGCATCCGATTTGAATTATTTAAAAAACATTCAATTTGTAATTATGAGAAGAAGTAGTGATTAGTTTTTGGCAAGGGCAGATCCAGCCGTTTCGAAGATACAAAAAAAGTAAAAAAAGATGATCTTTGGTGGTCAAAAATAACATAAGAGTACGTTTGCACATCAAATTATTAGATACTTGATATAGTTTTTGAAAATGTATACTAATTTTGTTACAATTTTTTTGGGTTTCGTACCAAGATTTTTAATTTTTAAAGTTTCGGTTCTAACAAATTCAAAATTTCAAAATTATACAAAATTCAATTCAAAATTTCAAAAATATACAAAGTTTTATACTTCAAATACGAATTTTAAATTTACAAATCAGTTTGAAAATGTATATATTTCAAATGCTTTATTCTATTTGTAAGAAATATAAGGTTGTCAAATATCTCTCTTCCGCCTTTTTGTATTATAAACCAAGAGCAAAAAGCGGAAGGGAGATATTTGACAACCTATCCTCAGATGGATTCAGTCGGCACCTCTTGCTAATGTAAACATTCTCAAGTGCTTTGAGCGATAAGATCGTCACTGTATATTTATAATATATAATAATTATAATTATCTATTTGAAAATGTATAAAACAATTGTTGTTAATCATTGATGAATTTTTATTGATTACTGATTTTTTTTTCCTCGAATATATAATTCTGGTACGGGAAGTTCCAGCAATTTGCCTTAAGGCACGATGCCATACACCACTAGTTATTTATGTATTTATATTCACATTTATGCTTTTATGTTATATTTATATTAACATTTATGAATCATATTATATTTTAATTTCATTCTAACTAAATTTGAAATTTGAAATTTGAATTCGATCCGTTCCCGCGCTCCTCTATCCACCCTGAACTTGGCGCCGCTCCAACCTGTCTCTCTGTCTAATAAAAAATGTCCGCCGTCTCTCGTGTTGAATAAAATATGGCATCGCCTCTCGAAAATTTGGAAGTGCAATTGGAGATGTTTATTGAAAACGTAAGACAAATTCGTATTATCGTAAGTGATTTTCAACCTCAAGGACAAAGCGTTTTGAATCAGAAGATGTAAGAACTTGTTTGTTGTAATAATAATAATCTTAATGTCGTAGTATTGTAGTAATGTTGCACTCTTTATACGTGGACATTATTAGCACACGGTCGGCCATAGTTAAAGTTAAAAACGTGTGATGAGATACTATTTTAGACAAAAGCTCTGCAAGTATTATATGTTAGTATTATTTTTGCAGCCAGGGTCTTGTTAGTGGTCTGCAGGAGGTTGAGAAATTGAAAAATCAAGTGCAGGACATACACGTACCCCTGGAAGTGTTCGAGTGAGTACCTAACCTATATTTAACATATTTCATCATCTTGGTAAAAGGTAAAAGTAAAGACTTAAGGGGGTATTTTAGTGATGAAATCGATCAAGGTAATCGTTATATTTTATATTTTCTTGGTCAACGTTACAAGAGTACAGGAAAAAAGTAAAAATGAAAGAAAGTTGCAAATTTTTAAAATTTGGTCTCAAAAAGTTGACATTTGACTCTGTCCACGATTGCAACCCTCCTAGTAATCCAAAATGAAAAGAAAAAGAATATTAATCTATTGTTGCTTTGGTATATACTAGGATTAAATTCTTGCATCAATTTCTTACCACTTTTTTGAGTTTCTATATTGCTTTTAATATAGTAACGATTGAAATTTTGATATGAGGCTAGTATATGTCAAAGAGGAGTCTTTAAAGAAGATTCTCTAAAAATTTCAAGTGAATCGATACTGTAAAACAGTAGAACAAGTTAAAAAATCAATTTTTGACAAATAAGTATCAATTTCTTGCTATTTTTAATTATTTTTCAATATTTTATGCCTTGCCATTTAATATTTCAGTCAATAATTACATTTTTCTCACTTAAAATTTAACAAATATTGGAATTTAAGTACAACTTGATATTTATTTAATTTTTTTATTTATTTATTTATTCAACGCCCAAGGCAATAATACAATATAGTTACATTTTGAAGTGTACAAATTATAAACTAAAGAGATAAGTGAGAAAATTAGAGTATTAAGAGTTCATAGATAGCTTTGTAAATACAAATTTCATTGTTTACTTTTTGAGTTTCTAGATTTTTTTAAAGTAGTAACTATTGATATTTTACAATGAGTCTAGTATATGCTTGAAGAGAAGTCTATAGGAAGATTATTTTAAAAATTTCAAATGTATCGATCCAGTAGAACTACAGAAATCATGTACATTGTATTCAAAAAGATTGTTTTGAGGAAAATATCTTTAAATTGTGCAAAAGGAAGGATATACAAAAGGATTATCACAGCTGTATCTCCGAAAATAATTTTAATTTGAAAAATTCTCTTGTACACGTATTCTTAAATAGTTAAGCTTTGAAAATATGAAAAAAACTAAAACAATTTTGTGGAATTTGACACTAGAATACCCCCTTGAATTAGGTGCATTTAATCAGGACTGTAAAATAAAAAAAAATGGCCCCATAATTGCTCTAGGTAGATTCCTAATTTTACTTTATACTGATGAGAGATCGATAATGGATATATTTTCTGAACGTGTAGAAAAATACTATTTTTTTTATTATAATAAATGTTCAAATTGTTTTCTATCTACATTAATCTATATCTTAAATCTATATCTCGAGAATTGATATTTTCAGTTCTTTTTCATATAAATGCTTATATATAATGCGAATATTATAGTGAACTAGTGGTGCATGGCATCGTGCCTTAAGGCAAATTGCTGGAACTTCCCGTATCGTAATGAAATAGTCGAGGAATATTAAATGTTTTCAAATAGATTATTATAAATACTGTATCTTTTATTATTCCTATTTTATGGACAAAATAATTATAGTATGGATTGGACAAGAACGTTTATATATGTTTACATGAAAAGAAAATAAACAAAACTTGATTAAGCGGAGTTGAAACGAAGGACCTTATCTCATATTTCTAAGAATTATTTAAACTGAATTGCAAAGTTAAAATTATTTATTTCCAGAATATAAGTGAGCTTTGGAATTTAGGCAAGGATTAAAACTAAAATCACAAATATTTTTGATATTAAAAAATAATTTTGTTTTCCCCAAAAACATTCGTTTCGTCATTACAAGCAAAAGGTTTTTTGAATCATTCAAATCGGATGCTTCATTATCTCAAAAACTAAGATAACATTTAGAGAATTCGCAACTTTTCTTTTTTCAAGCAAATTACAACCCTTTTTGACAATTTGGCAATTTTTAACATTTATATAAATTTTTTCAAACAATTTTCAACATTTTCAGACCAATTTCATTTTTTTGGAAAATTTTCTACGTTTTTAGACTAATTCAACATTTATTTAGACAAATTACATTTTATTAGGGAAATTTTTATTTTTTTTTAGACTAATTGCAACATTTTTTCAAACAGTTACACCACTTTTAGACAATTTGCAATATCTATTAAAGCATACACATTTTTTACATAATTTTCAACATTTTCTGAACAATTTTATTTTCTCAGAGAATTTTCATCATTTTCAGAGAATTTACGACTATTTCAGATAAATTGCAACATTTTTTCAAACAACAAAAGGTTTTTTGAATTATTCAAATCGGATGCTTAGTTCTTTCAAAAACTGCATTTTTTGACACATTTAACTCCGCATCTCCAAAACGGCTGGACCTGCCTTTGTCAAAAACTAATCACCAGTTCTCCCCATCATTACAAATCGAATGTTTTTTGAACCATTCAAATCGGATGCTTAAGTCTCTCAAAAACCTACCATTTTTAGCACATAGCTTCGTAACTCCGAAACCACCGGACCTGTCTTTATCAAAAACTAGTCACCACTTCTCGCAATCATTACAAATTGAATGTTTTTTGAATCATTCAAATCGGATAAAAAAATTTAAGTTATAGTCCGAAAAGTTCCAGCAATTTTTCTTAAGCCATGCACCAATAGTTTTATCTTATTATTATTAGGGTTGCACCGAATAATATATTCGGCATGTAATTACTATTTACAGTTGTTATATTACTAACGTACTACATGTATATTCAATTTTTATGCCTAGGCTTGCAACGACTATTTGGTTACTCTTTTTTATTTGGAAAATTTGGCACTATTTATACTATTCGGCCGAATACCAAATAATTAGGTAACATGTGATAAGGAAACGAAATAAAAATGAATCTGAAATGAAATGTGATAAGAAAATGAATCAAAAAGTGATTTTATATATATTATATATTAGGGTGGTCCTTAATATGGACATTTTCAAATTTTTTTGCTCCCAAGGGCTCAAATGCTTCCAAATTATTTAATAAAAATTCTCTAAAAATTTAAGCTCTTAATATCAACATTTAGATAGTTCGCAATTCAATTAAAAGTTTCGTATGTTTATTATTACCATATATTCTTGCGCCATCTGTGATAGCATTTGTGAACTCGAACCTCCAACATTGACTCTTAAAAATATTAATAAATTACTTCCATGGGTGTGGAAATATTTATTCATCATGGCATCAAAATTAATTTTGCAGCAAAATATTTATTCAATTGTTGATGTTGACACTCAAAGTAATAAATTGTCATTAAAATTGCAAATCTGCTACCACAGATGGCGTAAGGATTTACTTAATGACATGTGTTAATAAAAAATATATCACACTTTTAATTGAATTGCGGTCAATTTAAATTTTAATATTAAGAGTTAAAACTATTAGATATTTATTTTTTTATAAATTTGGAATCATTTGAGCCCTTGGGTGCAAAGAAATTCTAAAATGTCCATATTAAGGACCACCCTAATATATATAAATGTATTTTCAACTGTTTCTTTCGTAAACATTTAATATTTACTTTCATAAACACAATATTTTTCTTATATATCAGAAAGGCTATGATATAATCATAATAAAATAAATCAAAACTGGCCAAAAATATTGTTCGTATTTTTTGCGATAAAGAGGCTGAAAAGATGATATCTCTTTATTTAGAAATTCTTAGATTGAATATAAAGAATGTCTTTATTAATATAGTGTATCTATATATTTATAAGACATGCGTGTAACTTTTAAATTGATTCTTAACATAAACATATAACAATAACGTGTCCTTTGAATATTGAAAAGAGTTTTTCACGTGTTTGTTTATAATCTCAAAAGTCGATAAAGTCTAAATTATTATATGTACGAAGTACAATAACGAATTTATTTCATATATTAGGGGGCGTCCATTAATCACGTGAGGGAGGGAGGGGTATAGTAAGATATCATTTTTATTTATTTTTCACCGGATTTTTTTAATTGCAACCCTTTCAAAAAAAAAAATCGAAATTTTACTTTTTTTTCCTCGTAAGTAAAAATATACGTGGTGTGTGTCGGGGTGGGGTGGGGCTAAATTTGATTATCACAAAAAATTCTTAAAACATTGATCACTTGATTAATGGACGCCCCCAAAGTATACTTAGGCTTGCAAATATATAGATCCATTGCAAGATAAAACACACACAATATAAGGTTGTCAAATATCTCCCTTCCGCCTTTTTGTATTATAAACCAAGAGCAAAAAAGCAGAAGGGAGATATTTGACAACCTAATATTTTAGCTGAGCGGCGGCGTCTCCTTTGATTTAACTATTCGTTATTTGGTCGAATATCAAAAAAGGTGCCGAATATTCGGTGCAAGCCTAATTATTATTTATATTTCTATTTCTATATATTTACAATTTGTTATTTCTATACAGCTACATAGATCAAGGGCGTAACCCCCAGCTGTACACAAAAGACTGCATCGAAAAAGCTTTGTCCAAAAACGAGGAGGTCAAAGGCAAAATCGACACCTACCGCAAATTCAAGGCTAATATGCTAGTTGAGTTACAACGTACATTTCCCAATGAACTAAACAAATATCGAGCTTTGAGAGGCGATGAATAACCACTAAAAACCTAACCACTGTGCGCGTTTTATTATAAACTCTATTTAATTAATATTTGGACTTGTGTATTTAAAACAAAATGTCTGAGTTCGACGGTGCACCTGCACAATCCAACTTGCACAAGCAAGATTTGGCTCAACTTGACGTAACGAAACTGACAGCGTTGTCGCCTGAGGTAATATCTAGACAGGCTACTATAAATATCGGTACTATAGGTCATGTAGCTCACGGTAAATCTACGATAGTTAAAGCTATTTCTGGGGTGCAGACTGTACGTTTTAAAAATGAATTGGAGCGTAATATTACTATAAAACTTGGTTACGCTAATGCCAAGATTTATAAGTGCGATAACCCGAATTGCCCGCGGCCTGTGTGTTATATTTCTGGGGGTTCTAGTAAGGATGATAGTTTTCCTTGTTACCGGGCTAATTGTACAGGTAGATTCCATTTAGTGCGTCATGTTAGTTTTGTAGATTGTCCTGGTCACGATATTTTGATGGCTACAATGTTGAACGGTGCGGCGGTTATGGACGCCGCCCTTTTGTTGATAGCCGGTAACGAATCTTGTCCCCAACCGCAAACAAGTGAACACTTGGCTGCTATTGAGATTATGAAGTTGAAGCATATTTTGATTTTGCAAAACAAAATTGATTTGGTTAAGGAAGGTCAGGCTAAAGAGCAGCATGAGCAGATTACTAAGTTTGTGCAAGGGACTGTGGCTGAAGGTGCACCTATCGTACCAATTTCCGCGCAATTGAAATACAATATCGAAGTTTTGTGCGAGTATATTGTTAAAAAAATCCCGGTGCCGGTGCGTGACTTTACATCACCCCAAGATTAATAGTCATACGATCCTTTGATGTCAACAAACCCGGTTGCGAGGTTAAGGACCTAAAAGGCGGTGTAGCTGGTGGTTCTATCCTCCAAGGCGTGTTGAAAGTCGGTATGGAGATCGAGGTACGTCCAGGCCTGGTCAGCAAAGACGCCGATGGTAAAATGAGTTGCCGCCCCATATTCTCACGTATAGTATCCCTATACACCGAGCAAAACGAACTGCAATACGCAGTCCCTGGTGGTCTCATCGGTGTAGGCACCAAAATCGAACCAACCCTATGCAGAGCCGACCGTCTGGTAGGACATGTCCTTGGTGCAGTCGGAACCTTACCCAACATCTTCATAGAACTCGAGGTCTCTTATTATCTCCTAAAACGCCTTTTGGGCGTTCGCATCGAAGGCGACAAAAAAGCTGCCAAGGTACAAAAACTCACCAGAAACGAAGTCTTGTTAGTCAACATCGGGTCTTTAAGCACTGGTGGTCGTGTCGTGGCTGCCAAGGCTGATTTAGCAAAGATTTCTCTAACCACTCCCGTGTGTACACAGGCTGGGGAAAAGATTGCCCTTAGTCGTAGGGTTGAAAAACATTGGAGGTTGATCGGATGGGGCCAGATCCGCGGAGGGGAGACCATTGAACCGACAACTAGTTAGTAAATTAAATTTTTGGTTAATTAGTATCATTTCAACTTATTGTACTTTTACATAAGATTTTCTTTGTTGGGTGTATATTATTAAAATATTATTATTGTATTTGTAATACAGATGACACTAGTTTTTTTTGTTCAGATTTTTCAGGAATAAAAAGTTTATACGTAGATAGAATTTTTACATACAGTACTTTGTTTTATATTAACTAATAAATTGATACTATTAATATGAAAGGTGATTTGGTTTATTTTTGGAAGGGTAGTTTTATGATAGTTATGTTTATATATTTCAGGCAATTTGCAACATTTTCAGATTATGAGATAATCTACGACGTTTTAAGACGCTCAAGAACATACAGTAAAATTCCAATTATCCGAATTAATGGGGACCCATTCGGATAATCGGAGTTTGTTTTTAAAATTGCCATTGGAGAGAAAAAAAGTTACGTTTTGATATTGCACTATTTTTTATTGAATTAAACATGACATTTTCACATGTTTTAAATATAAATAAAATGTACTTATGTACAAGTTTAGAAATAAAAATCATTGTTTTGTAAACATCTCCATCAAATCAAAACAAACAATGTGCCTACACTTGCTTTGCTGGTGGAAGAATAATAGCGCACTCAGACTTTTTTTGGACAATTTTTTTTTCTGAAAGTGATTCGGATAATCGGCGATTCGGATAGTCGGAGTTCGGATAATTGGAGTTCTACTGTAATTGTATTTTTAGACCATCTACATTTTCAAATAACATTCTTAGACTATCTACTACATTTTCGCACAAATTATATTTTCAGATAATCTGCTGCATTTTCATTGAAGCTACCATATTGCGAGTTAATTTATAACATTTTCAGATGCCTAATAACATTCTCAGACAATTTTTAGACGAAGTACTATATTTGCTGAGAATCTGCAACATTTTCACTGACTACAATATTTTTAGACAATTTGAAACGTTTTTAATCCATTTGCAACCAATTTCAAGATCATTTTTGCAACATTTTTATTGAATCTACAACATTTTTAGACAAATTTTTTTTCCAAAGAATTTTCAATGTTATCAGACATTTTGCAATAATTTTATTTATACTTTTAACAAAAATTTCGTTGAACCTACAACATTTTTAGACAGAAAATTTGCAACAGTTTCAGGCAATTTCCACCATTTATTCAAATTACTATATTTTTACAGGATTTACTGCAATTTTAGATAAGTTGCAACATTTTTCAAACACACTTTTAGGCAATTAGGAACATCATACATTTACATACAACTTTCAACATTTTCAGAACAATTTTACTTTTTCATAGCATTTTTAACATTTTCAGAGAATTTTCAACATTTTCAGATACATTGCAACATTTTTTATAAACACTTTTAGACAATTTGCAACATGTATTAAGACAAATTATAAATATATTTTTTTTTTAGATAAATTGCAACAATTTCAGACACATTTTATTTTTTCAGAGAATTTTCACCATTTTCAGATAAATTGCAACATTTTTCAAACACAATACTTTCAGACAATATGCAACATTTATCAAGACAAATTACATTTTTTCAGATAAATTGCAACAATTTCAGATAAAATTGTTTTCAGAAAATTTTCAACATTTTCAATTTACAACTATTTGTGATAAATTGCAACAATTTTTCAACAATTTTCAACATTTTCATACACAACTTTTAGACAATTTTCAACATTTTCATACAATTTGCAAAAATTTTAGATAAATTGCATATTTTAATAAACAAATTACAACACTTTTAAACGATTTGCAACATTTATGCATTTACATACATTTTTCAAAGAATTTTCGACATTTTCAGATTAATTTTATTTTTTCAGAATTTTCAGAGAAATTGCAACATTTTTCAAACAATTGTATTCATACAATTTGCATCTCATTATACATTTTAATACATTTTTTGTAAGAATTTTCAACATTTTCATAGCATTTTTATTTTCTCAGAGAATTTTCAACATTTTCAGAGATTTCATATAAATTATTTTATAGCAATTATTATTTTAAATTTATTATTATAAATTATTTCTATAGCAATTATTTCATATAAATTATAACTTTTTTTCAAACAAATTACGATACTTTTAGACAATTTGCAACAATTTCAGATAAATTGCAACATTTTTCAAACACACAACACTTTTAGACAATTTGCAATATATATTGAAACAAATTATTTTTTTTTTCAGACAAATTCATTTTTTTTCAGAGAATTTGCAACTGTTTCAGATACATTGCAACATTTTTCAAACACACTATAATACTTATAGACAATATGCAACATTTATTAAGCAAATTATATATTTTTTTTAGATAAATTGCAACAATTTCAGACAAATTTCTTTTTTTTCAGGTAATCTTATCTACAACTATTTCAGATACACTTCAACATTTTTTTCAAAAAATAACATCACTTTTGGACAATTTGCAACATTTACTTACATTTTTTTCAGCAAATTTTCAACATTTTCAGAGAATTTGCAACTATTTCAGATAAATTTCTCATTTTTCAAACAAATTACACCACTTTTAGACAATTTGCAACATTTATTAAAGTAAACATATTTTTTCGAAGAATTTTCAATATTTTCAGAGAAATTTCAACTTTTTTTTTCAAAGAAATTGCAACACTTAGACATTTTGCTACATTCATTAAGGCAAATTACATTTTTTCAGATAAATTGGAACAATTTCAAAACATTATCTTTTTTTTTCAAAGAATTTCCAACATTTTCAGAGAATTTGCAATTATTTCTGATGAATTGCAACATTTTTTTTAACAAATTAAACCAATTTTAGACAATTTGCAACATTTATACATTTACATACATTTTATCAGATAATTTTCAACATTTTCAGAGAAAAGTGCAACTTTTTTAACTAAATTGCAATTGCAATTTATCTGAAATATGTAGCAAATTTTCTGAAAAATGTTGAAAATTCTCTTGGAAAATTAAATTGGTATGAAAATATTTTGAAAATTCTCTGAAAAAATGTATGTAAATGTATAAATGTTGCAAATTGGCTAAAACTGTTGTAATTTCTTTGAAAAGAAAAAGTTGCAATTTCTCTAAATATGTTGAAACTTTTCCGAAAAAATGAAAGTGGTCTGAAAATGTTGAAAATTTGTCTGAAAAAAATTATGTAAAATTATAATTGCAAATTAGCTAAAACTAATGTTGAAAAGAAAAAGTAGCAAGTTCTCTAAAAATATTGAAAATTTTTCAAAAAAAATAGTATAAATTTTGTAAATTGTCCATGTTTTCAAAAAAAAAAAATCAACCAATTTAACCAATAATTTATGATTTACATTTGATTTACTCAATTCAAAAATAATGAAAGTTACACTATTTGTAATAATACCGTTTAAAATTTCTCGAATATTTCATTACGGTACAGAAAGTTTCAGCAACACTAGTTTTGTTCTTATTTCCAATATTAAAATTGATTCAGATTATTTGGCTGTATTGAATAAAAGCAAAATAACTATTAGATGCAGAGATAACAAAGAAGAATGTCTCGTATATATTGTTGAGAATTGTGTTCTTTATAATTATAAATAATAGTCATAAGTAAATTCATTTTAACGATGTATAATTCCAAGTAATGCTAAATGTTGCAAATATCTTGTACATCTGCAAGACAACCCTTAATAAAAGTTTATGATAGCTCATGTACCATCGGCGAACTATCATAAAACTAGAAATATTGGAAATATTTCAAAAATGTAAAAATATAAAAGTTAGTTAGTCCTGAACTGTTGAAGAAGTAACAACAAAAATATTATAATAAAGCGCTAAATAAATTTTTGTATCTAAATAAATTCTTTGATTTCACACACTTCCAGAAGAGCTACAAATGTTCCAATTCTCGTCGTTAAGTATTCCAAATAAAACTCTGATCTACTCAAAAAGTTATTAAAAATTGGTTACATTTAATCATTAATTAATAAATTCATTACTAACGTCTCTTCGATATACTGTACTAGTGCTGCCTTCTTCAGAACGCTGCATAAATTAAAATGGAGGCAACGTCATGGCGATCTATTTATGATTATTTATCTATGGATTCACTCACGACATGTTCCTAACAAACTTCACTCTTGTTTGGAAACCGAATGAAAGTGTGCGTACTAACCTAATATAATTATTGTCCTTAAAAATCTCACAAATTTGCTCGTAAGCATGATTGAATAACAAAAACAGTGCCGAATTTAATAAACAACCTATAAAATTCCACTTACAAATAACATCCTTCACAAACAAACCAATTTTTACTACCTAACCTAAAATGTCAGCCATCAAAATCACAATCCTTAGTTCAGGATTCGTGCTCCTCTCATCCCTGTCAGCATACACTTACATGTACTGCCAAAAGAAAGTGAAATCAAGATGCTTCCGACACATTCCTGTGACGACATCAGATTTAAGTAAAGGTGACAACGTCAAATACCGAAAGCACATCAAGACTGTTGTAGAACTCATCGACAAAGCCACCAGATCAGTATACATCACCATGTATCTATTTACTATCCGAGACTTTTGTGGAGCCTTGATCAGAGCCCAGCAGCGAGGGGTTGATGTTAAAATCATCTTGGACGGGACCATGATGAACTGTATGGGGTCTCAGAAGGGTAAACTCGCAGAAGGAGGTAAGAGTAATAAATGATACATTGTTTGTGACTTATGTTTGTAATGGTTGTTTGATGGTTTGTAGATATAGAAATCCGGTGCAACACAGACTTGAACTTTCTTATCCACCATAAGTTCTGTTTGATCGATTCGGATTGCAAAAATTGGCTTACAGAATTTAAATCGGATGCTGAGTTGCCTTTGCAAGGAATTTTGATTACTGGATCACAAAACTGGACCAGACAGGTAATAAAAATATATATACATGTATATGTGTGTGTATGTATATATATATATATATATATATATATATATATAAATATACTAGCTGACCCGGCAAACGTTGTTTTGCTAAGTAAGGTATTTTCTAAACAATTTCTAGAGAATAAAAACTATTAAAACTTTAAGTGTATAAGGATGTGTTGTTTTGAATGCTATATACAGTGAGGTGTTATCAAAACAATAAACCCCATTACACTTTCTAGTTTTATACACTTTCTATAGAAAACATGGTATAATCTATACAATCCAAGTCTTTTTTTGGTCTTCCGACTTATTAATTACGTTTCAAGTTTTTCAGATTCTTTCTAGATCTGGATTTTGTGTATAATTGTAAATAATACTACTGAGCTTATACAAAATTTTCAAATTTCTGCGAGGAGAGATAGAAAATGAATTAAGTATTTCTTCTTTGACCTTGCTTTTTGAAAAGTTTCAAGTAACATTCGACGAATTGAAGTAAATTTAATAAAAAGTATAATGCTTTAGCTTTACTGGTTTTTGACACTTTGGTTGTGGAACTTTTAACCCCATACCTTCATATATTACTATCCATCCATCGATAAATTCTGGGAAATTATAACTGGGAATAAGTTATTCGACAAAATGTACCTTTGATCGATTCCAAATTTAGGTTCTGATTTTAAATAATGTAAATTAAAAAAATATATTCTAGAAAATGTTTTATAAATACCATTGTGTATATAATTATACAAATGAGTTCTTTCAGAGCATCGTGTTTAAGAAAAATATGATTTGTCAACCATACCGAGTTTTATAGTTCACTTCACTATTTATACGAATGGGCAATGGCACTATCATAACATTATAATTGATAATCATTTATTTAAAAGAAATAATTTTATTATTGATTCCCTACAAATTTCAAATTGTCATCCATACATGATTACATAGCTATCATTTGCGTTTTAGTAAAAATTTTATATTCACGTAATAATTTTCCAAAAGTGGCGATTAAAAAATGCATATTAATATATTTGTATCAAAACAGAAACACCGAATGACAGTTGACAATTGAAAGTAAATATCATAAACTGAATGGATAGTTTATAAATAATTAATTTTGAATTAGAATGAAAAACGGGTACTACATATGTTTCTCCTGGCTCTAAACTACCTCCCTGCCAATTTTCATCTAAATCCGTTCAGCCGTTTGTGAGTTATAAGTGTTCTAACTTAAGCGATCCTCTTTTATATATATATATATATATATATATATATATATATGATAATCTAATATTTTTGCAGCCCAACCGAGGAATTGAAAAAAGATTAAATAACAAAATTATTTATTCCTTGATGTGTGTCATCATTCAGTAATCTAAAAATTAATCAACATATATATAATTCTAGAAACCCAAATCTATTCAAAACGATGCTTTCAGAACATATAATTAACTTGAACCACACTTTTAACATGTGCATTCCTTCAATCCTTTACATTGAAAAAAATTGTGACCTTAGACAGATAGTTGAGTCTTTACTTATATCCCTTAATACTTCTTGTGTAAACAAACGTAATTCCTCTCATCTCTTACATGACAGTTACAAAGTCATCATTAATTTCATGAAAAGTAATTCTATACATTTTTAGAATCTTTGGTTCGTTATATTTTTTCTCTGCTTTTCTTTTCCCTTTCGTTTCTCACACCCCGCTCCCACTCCTTCACTACACTTGCGTTGTAACCTTGATCAGTGTCCACAATGCACCGCTATTAATAACATTAAATATAGGAGGGTAATATGTGCTCCTTCTATTTCTCGTTTGTTAATATAATAGTATATTATTATTTTACACAAATTTAGTGTTCAATCAATTTGACATCATAATTAATTTTTTCTGTTGTTTTTCCTGGTTTGTTCCTCCTTTTTCATATATTTATATTTATCATCAACTTTGTATTTATGTTATATGGTTTTTAGATTACTAAATGATGACACACATCAAGTGTCGAAACGTTTGATGGAATAAATAATTTTGTTATTTAATCTTTTTTTAATTCGACGATTGGGCTGCAAAAATATTACAATATATATATATATATATATATATATATATATATATATATATAATTATTATTTTTTCCAGGCGACAACTGGAAATTGGGAATATCAACTCTATACCTCTAGTCAAGCCCTCGTCCGCAGGTTCCACAATGAATTTATGCGAATGTGGGAAGTTTTCACACCGCAATAAAATTTATTTAGGTATTTTAAAGAGTGACGACTGCATTCCATATCTTGTTCTGCAATATCTAATGCATAATGAATATGTGTATATAATAAAATGACTTTTACATTGTGATATAGACAATAATTAAATAAAAATAAAAAGTTTTGTATTATTAGTTATAAATCTTTTTGGCTTTTATTTATATATGTATATATATTATTTTGAATTGTTTATATAACTTATAAAAATAATCCAAAAGTCTGCTTATAATATTGTAGATTGTCTGCAATTGCTGTAGATTTAAAAAAGTGTTGTAAATTGGCTGAAATTGTAGATTCAATAAGAATGTTGTAGATTGTTTGAAAACGTTAAAAATTGTCTAAAAATATTGGTCGTTGTTTAAACAAGTGCAAGAACATTGTCTGAAAATATTATAGATTGACTAAAAATAGTCTAAAAATATAACAAGTTCTCTATTGAATATAATGTGCCTTAATAAATGTTACAAATTGTCTTGAATTGTTGCAATTTATTGAATGCTAAAATATAACTTAACTTGTCTTGTTGCAATTTGTCTGAAAATGTTGAAAATTCTCTGAGAAAATAAAATTGGTCTGAAAATGTTAAAAATTTCCTGAAAAAAATGTAACAAGTTTTTTTCATATGTTGCAATTTGGTAATATGTAACTAAGAAAATTTTCTGAAAATGTTGAAAATTTCCTGAACAATATCTAATTTGTCTAAATGAATGTTAAAAAAAATTGAAGTTGTTCTGAACTTGTTGCAATTTATCTGAAAAAATGTAATTTGTTTTAATAAATGTTGCAAATTGTCTAAAAGTGGTGTAATTTGTTTGAATAAAATGTACAATTTATCTAAAAATGTCAAAAATTTACTGAAAAAATTAAATTGGTCTATTAATATAATAATATATAAACGTATAATTTGCCTTAAGGCACGATGCCATACACCACTAGTTTTGCTATTTAATCAATCATTAATAAAGTTGCATTTGACGAAATCTTTGAATAGTTACTGTGTATGAGTGTTTTTTTAACATAACATTCACCCATGTTATATTATTTTTGTGTGGTTTTTATATATTGTTAGTTATCAAGTAATTAATATTAATCATTCCTTGTAAATTTATAATTCCTTTTGTAAATATAGTAAACACTTGTATGTTTTTAGTTACTTATAATTTTAAAAATGATAATTCTTCACATTATTTCTGTGTAATTTTTATATATTTTATACCATAGTTTTATAGATCATACTAAAATATTACGTTTCACACTTTGATTTATATTAATTATACACATCGTTTATGATTAGAAGCAATTCTTAGTATTAAAATTTCATTCGACACTAATACAATATTATAGCAAATTATAGATAATTTAGTTATCTTCAAATGTATCTAATATGGTTTTAAGATAACTTTGATAATTTTAGAGATATCTCAAAAAGTGCAGAAAAATGTACCACAAAATTTTGATGCAGTTATAATATATTTGTAATTAAATTTGTCCCTACGACAAGCCGTTTAATTTCAAAAATTCGTCAAAGTTTGCAAAAAAAAATAGCAAATAAAATTAAAATTAGACGATTTACTTGGTATAACGATGGAATACTTGGTCTTAATGAACATACTGAACCATTAAAGACCTACGAAAACTGGTTCAATTATAAATATTGTTGATTTGTGAAAATTTGATTTAGAAAATACTTCGATTTAACGTGTTCTAATAACTAGTTTAATTTCAAATTTAGCGCCATTAATTCAAACGCGGCGCCAAACTTCAAGTCGTTTCCACATTCGCCAAACTTCACACCGCATCGCAGCTGTCATCAAAAGCCATTTGCCGAAGTTAATTTTAATTTACTCTAAAAAAGTAAATTTAGTTGTTTTAAAAATAACTAAACCTCATCACACTTAATTTAACCCCAAAACCAGTGTACATAAAATCATTCTATAACAATTCCTAGTCGATATGACCAGTTTTACTGAAAGTGCTTTAGTGAAAAAATTAATCGAATTAAATGCAAGTCAACAAAGCATCCAAACTTTATCATTCTGGTTAATACATCACCGAAAACATCATGCAATTATTGTCAAAACATGGTACAAAGAACTACAAAAAGGTACACCAATAATATAAACCCATAATTTCAATTTATTTTTCATATTTCTATTACCCTAACCTCAAATTTTTCTTTCCCAGCAAATGAGCAAAAGAAGTTGACTTTTATGTACTTGGCTAATGATGTTATACAAAATAGCAAGAAAAAGGGACCCGAGTATGGGAAAGAGTTTGGGTCTGTTCTTGCGGGTGCTTTCGAACATATTTCAGCTAGTGATGATGATAAAATTAAGAGTAGTATCGGCAGGTTGTTGAATATATGGGAAGAACGAGGCGTTTATGATGCTACACAGATAAGGGAGTTTAGAGATGCTTTAGGTAGTAAATGTTATATGTTATGTAATTTTATATTATATTGCTTTAGCAAGGCTCGTTGTTTTATTTTTGATAATATAAAACAAGGTCAAAAGAATCGGCTTTATATTTATTTATTTTAATTCATATATATATATATATATATATATATAATATATATATATTCTTTTATTATAAATATTTATAAATGAATTTAATAATAAATACCTAAATACAAATATAAATCCATAAACATGAATATTTACTAATCTATAAATATAGAAATAAATATAAATTCATATTAATAAAAATGTAGAGAGTACTCTACAAAATTAATTATGATAATTATAAATAATTTAACTAAACAGCAATTTATATTATGATATTTTTATTTTCAAAGAAAACAAAAATACGAATTTTAAATTTACATATCTAAGTACTTCTAAAATAAATAATAAATTCTTCATTTTTTTGAATTTTTGAAAATTATAACAAAACTTTTTTTGATATGTTTTTATCTATATTATAATTAAATATCGAATCGAAGTATTTTATTTTTATTAATGAATATACAAATATAAAAAATAAATCCATAAATGAATATAAATATAAATAATGAATAAATAATTAACTGTATAAATAATTAAATAAGTTCATAAATAATTCAGTGTATAAATAACTAAATTCATTTATAAATAATTAAATTAATATATAACCTTAAATATATAAATGCAAAATACCAATACAATTAAATAAATATTTACATAATTAAAGTATAAATATATAAATAAATAAAATCATATAATAATAAAAATATTGATAAAAAATGAATATATTTTAATAAATAAATTTAAAATCATTTAAAGGTGCTAAAATTAATTAATACATATAAAAAGTAATAAAGAAACTCAAAAATTAATAAACGAATTAAAAATTATTCAATAAGCATTAAATTTAAAGCTTAATAATCATAGTTATTAAACAAGAGTAAAAATAAATCAGTTGTAAAATTAATAAATAAGATATATAGTAATAAATAAATTCAAAAATTTAATAAACAAATTATTTTGATAGGAAGCATTAAATAAATTGAAAAATTATTAAATAGGCATCAAAATTGAAAAGTAAATGTAAAAACTAATAAATAAATATAAAAGGTAATAAAGAATAAACAAAATTAATAAACAAGTGTTAAAATAATTAATAAATGAATCATAAATATATAATTTAATAAATATATTAAATAAATTAAAATTGATAAATTAATTTAAAAATTAATAAATTGATTTAAATATTAATCAATGGGATTTCAAAAGTAATAAAAAAATTAAAAATTAATACATAAGTACTTAATAAATATTTTAACAAATTAATAAACAAGCATTTAATTTAATAAAATAAAAAATTAATCAATTTACAAAGTAATAAACAATATTAAAAATTAATATAAAAATGTAAAAATTGATAAATAAGCGTTAAAATGAATAAATAAATTTGAAAATTAATGAATACATTTAAAAACCAGTAAATGCATGTAAAAAAAATTAATAATTATAAATGATAAATAAGTAAAAATTAATAAATAAATTTAAATGCTTAGAACAGTTAAATTTAATAAATAAGTATAAAAAGTAATAAAAATATTAAAATTAAAAGTTAATGTGAATAAATAAGATTTAAAGGTACACAAATTTTAAAAGATTAATAAATTTTTTAAGTGGTAAAATCAATAAATACATTTAAAAATTAATAAATAACTAATAAAATTAGTGAATAAATTTAAAAATTAACAAAGGGATGTAAAAATTAATAAATAACTTTTAAAATTAATAAAAACATGTTAAAGATAATAAATAAGTGTTAAAATTATATAAGAATGAAAAAAAAATAATAAATAAGTGGTAAAACAAATAAACAAATTTATAAATTATTAAGTGTTAAAATTAATGAATAAATTTAGAAATAAATAAATTTAAATGTTGTTTAGAACTGTTAAATTTAATAAATAATATGAAAATTAATAAATATTTGTGAAAATTAATAAGTTGAAAATTTAATAAATAAGTAATGAAAATAACAAATAAGTATTAAAATAAATAGATACATTTCAAAATTAAGAAACAAGATTAAAATGAATAAGTAACTCTTAATATTATTAAATGTGTGTTGAAATAAGTATTAAAATTAATATATATAATATATATATATGTGTGTATGTGTGTGTGTAAAATTTAACAAATAAATTCAAAAATTAATAATTAAATATAAAAATTTATAAATCAGCGAATAAAAAATTAAAACAAATAATAAATTTAAAAATTAATCAATAAAATTTAAAATAATTAAATAAATGTAAAAAGTAATAACTATCAAAATTAAAAATTTATAAATAAATTTGAATACTAATAAATAAAGTATAAATAAATAATTTAATTACTTAAATAAATAAATAAATGTATATATAAAAAAATATATGAATAAACAAATAAGTAAATAAATAATTAAATTAATATATATACAAAATATTGATAAATGGGCGAATAAATAAATAAATGATTAAATAAATAGATAAATATATAAGTAAATACATAAATACTTATCTATATATATATATATATATATATATAAATATAAAAAATATGTAAATAAATATAATTATCAATGAAAAATCCAATTTCAAGTTTACTAAATATATTTACTGTTTTATTATATTTATATTTTTTCTTCCAGATGGAAAAATTACTCAAAAAAAGCCAAAAAAACGAAAAATTGACTCACCAGATCCCAAACAATCAAAAAACGAAAGGCGCAGTAAAAGTCCTGGAATAAAATCTGAAACCACAATCGAAGTCGATGGATTGAAAGAAACACACTTAACTTTAAGCCCTAGGACTCCTGCAGGTAATAGAAACAACAATAATAATAACTTATTCAGTAAACCACAAACATTCAATTAAGTTAAATAATAAATGAAACTGAAATAAATGATATAAATATAAATATCAATATCAATATAAATATAAATATAAATATAAATATAAATATAAATATAAATTATAAATATAAATATTAGGATGTCAAATATCTCCCTTCCGCTTTTTTGCTCTTGGTTTAATACAAAAAGGCGGAAGGGAGATATTTGACAACCTATTATAAATATAAATATAAATATAAATATAAATATAAATATAAATATAAATATAAATATAAATATAAATATAAATATAAATTATAAATATAAATATAAATATTAGGTTGTCAAATATCTCTCTTCCGCTTTTTTGCTCTTGGTTTAATACAAAAAGGCGGAAGGGAGATATTTGACAACCTATTATAAATATAAATATAAATATAAATATAAATTATAAATATAAATATATTAGGTGTCAAATATCTCCCTTCCGCTTTTTTGCTCTTGGTTTAATACAAAAAGGCGGAAGGGAGATATTTGACAACCTATTATAAATATAAATATAAATATAAATATAAATATAAATGTGAATATAAATATAAATATAAATATAAATGTGAATATAAATATAAATATAAATATAAATATATATATAAATATAAATTTCTATATATATATATATATAAATATATAAATATAAATATAAATATAAATATAAATATAAATATAAATATAAATATAAATAAATATAAATATAATTTAGTTTAGTTTTAACTTTAATCGTCTTGAACGTAAATGCTTCGGTTTTGCTCGTTACGTGGCTGCTACGTTACTTTGTTTCATACATTTATCATACAAAATGGACGCGGTTTCGTACAGCTGTTTGACAAAACCGTCAAAAAGATAGGTTATGCGTTCTACTCTTTTATCTTTAATAAAAATAATTTTAATTATTAATAAATAGTTATTGATGTATCCTTTATTATTTTTTTAGGTGATCCTCCAGAACCAGAAGAATTAATTAAAGCGATTCAAGATTTAGAAAATAGTGCTTCCGGTGATGCAGCGGTTAGGCAGAGGATTGCAAATTTGCCCCCAGAGGTCTCGGATATATCTCTATTGAGCAAACTGGAAGGTCTGGTCTGGATACTTATGTGTTTTATATATATATATATATATATATATATATATATGTTTTGGTTGTCAAATATCTCCCTTCCGCTTTTCTGCTCTTGGTTTATAATACAAAAAGGCGGAAGGGAGATATTTGACAACCTAATATATATATATATATATATATATATATATATATATATATATATATATATTTATGTATAATAAATGTTTACTTGAGATTGATTGGTTTTATTTGAAACAAATAAATATAAAAAACAACAAATTTAGTTTAATTTAGTAAATTATAATTTATACAATCACATTTAGATTTTTAACCAAAACAAATTTTGATATAAAATGCAACTACATTTTTATAAATTTCTATATATATATAATATATATATATATATATATATATTTTAATTATTTTTTTGATAATTTTTTATATATATATATATATATATATATATATATTATATTTTTTATATTTTCTATTTTTAGATAAAGAGCAAGCCCAAAAATTAAGTTTACAAGTAAACGAGGCTGTGACGATTTTAGCAGATTATAACAAAAGACTGGCCGATGAGATGGAGGATAGAAAAAAATTAGCAAATATGCTTCGGGATTTTATGCAAGCCCAGAGAGAGCTCATGACACAAGCCGAACAAAGACTCGAGGTAGTAAAAATAGTTTTAAACCCTAAATTTTCACACTCTTATTTTGTAAAAGATATTAGAGTAATTTTTGATCTAAATTTTTATTAGTGTATATTTTTGGCTGACGAATAGTTAACTAGTGGTGTATTGCATCGTGCCTTAAGGCAAATTGCTGGAACTTACTGTACTGAAAATTTAAGTTTTTGGAAAACTTTGAAAAAAAAGTGAGATTTCTGAGAATTTTGAAATTTTTGACAAAATTTGACTTTTTGTATATTTCGAAATTTATTATACTTTGAATTTTTTTGCAAATTTGGAACTTTTTTTCAAAAAAAACTGAAAAAAATAATATTTTTGAGAATTTTGACAAAATTTGACTTTTTTATATATCGATTTTTTTATATTTCGATTTTTTTATATTTCGATTTTTTCATATTTAGAAAATGTTCGAGATTTTCAAAAAAATTCGGAATATGAAAAACAGTCAAATTTTGTCAAAAATTTCAAAATTCTCAAAAATCTCATTTTTTTTTTTTTTAATAAAAGTTCAAAATTTGCAAAAAATTCAAAGTATAAAAATAATTCGAAATATGAAAAAAGTTAAATTTTGTTAAAAATTTAAAAAATCTCATTTCTTTTTGTTTTTTTTAAGTTCAAAATTTTTTTTGCAAATTTGAGATTTTGGAAAATTTTGAAATTTTTGACAAAATTTGACTTTTTTCATATTCCGAATTTTATTGCCAATTTTGAACATTTTTTGAGAAAAAAACTGAAAAAATGAGATTTTTGAAATTTTTGACAAAATTTGACTTTTTTTATATTTCAAATTCATTTTATACTTTGAATTTTTCTGCAAATTTTGAACTTTTTCCAAAGCAATTGTTCTTCATGACTGTTTTAGAGAATAAATATCGAAGCGCTTAAGCGCCGCATAGCAAAAATCTTGAAAAAAAAAGAGATTTTTTGACAAAATTTAATGTTTTTTATATTTTGAATTTTTTTGCAAATCTTGAACTTTTTTCAAAGTAATGGCGGTGTTGTAAATGGATTTTTTTTTTTTAAATAATTTTTGCTACGGGAAGTTCCAGCAATTTGCCTTAAGGCACGATGCCATGCGCCCCACTAGTAAGAGATTTTTTACACAACTAGTAAGAGTATAAATTTAGTTTACATTTTTACGAGTTCCGTTCCAATGTTAGACGGCGACGCGGCGCTTACGCGCTTCTACATGTTCGTTATAAGAGGGAAAATTTAAATTGTCCAAAAAGTCAATTTTTTTCAAAAACCCAATTCTTTTTTGCTAAGTTTTAATAAAAATCTGAATCTTTCTTAAATATTTTAATTTTCGGTACGGGAAGTTCCAGCAATTTGGCTTAAGGCTCGATGCCATACACCACTAGTTTACCCAGATACACTAAATTACTAGATTTCTATCAGTGAACATTTTTGACTAAATTTTTATGAATTTGTAAAAGCACTATTTTACATTAAAAAATAAATATCATAATAATAAAATAATAATAATAATATAATAATAATAATATAATAATAATAATATAAAATAATTAATAATAATAATAATATAATAATAATAGATCAAGGATACGACCTTGACATATTTTTTTTTATGTATTTCATCAATTTATGGGGCAATTCTGCCATAACATAGTGTTGTTATGGCAACGCTATCTTATGCTTGTTTATTGGCAGTGAAAACTGTGAAATTGTCTTACCTATTTGCCGTGCGATCAGGCGTATTTTACACATAAACAAGCAAGGAAGAATGTTACGATAACTGCGGCATCAAAGATTCTGTTATTATAACATTCTTTCTTGCTTGTTTGTATGTAAAATACGCCTGATCGCACGGCAAATAGATAGACATCAGTAATGGCAGAATTGCCCCATTAATTATATAATTCATCCCTAATTTTCACATTTAATTAAACTATTTATTATTCAAAAGACTTTAGGGTTAAAAAAAAGAATTATTATATATTTATTTATATTTTTTCTAGGAATATAACAACAAACTACAAAAAATATACGAAGTCCGACAAGAGGTAAAGTCCCACGTGAGGAATCTTCCTGATCTAAGCCGTCTGCCTGATGTCACGGGAGGCCTAGCACCCTTACCTTCAGCAGGTGACTTATTTAATCGTTGAAAAAATTATATAAATTAATTTTATTGTATATATAATAATCTGTACAAAAGGATATAAAATTGTATATATTTATATTGATTTCTCCAAAGAGAGGAAGGAAAGAATTATGGAAAATTATTTAGACGTCTAAACTTAATTTGTTAATCACAAATTAATATTAAAGATTAAAATTAAAAATAAATTTTTAAATGACTGATTGGGAATTTTGATAAATATACAAAATAATTTTAATATTTAATTTTTTAACACAAATTCCCACCTTATTGAATACTAGATACAAATTAGTTTTAATTATAAATATTAAAGGAATAATGGATATTTCTTTTAATTAGTACAAACCTTATTTTTTTGTTTGCCTGATTTTAATTAAAATAACTATTTAATTAAAATATAGTTTTTTATTATATAACAAAAAATTTATGTGTGTGTTTTCACTTAAATATTATTTTGCACAAATTTAAACAATTGATATAAGTTTTTATCAAAAGGATTTTATGCTATATAATGTATCTGTTGATAAATATATTATTAATTCAATATTAACAATGAGTATAAATGCCTTATGGCAAATTGCTGGAACTTCCCGTACCGTAATGAAATATTCAAGGAATATTAAATGTTTTCAAATAGATTATTATAAATACTGCAACTTTCATTATTTGTATTTTATGGACAAACTATAAGAGTTTATAAATTGCATGAAAAGTAAATAAACAATCAACTCTGCTTGCTATAATGAAGGACTTTATTTCATATTTCTATGAATTATGTAAACTGAATTGCAACCTTAAAATTATTTATTTCAAGTATATATAAATAAAAATAAGAATTTTAGGTGGAATTATAAATAAAATCCGAATTGCTCTAGATATTTAACAAATTCAGATTTAGTTAATAGATTTAATTATAGAATATTTTTCTCAGTGCATTTTAATACAAACACATTGTGTCCATGTTATATTTTTATATCAAAAAACTATTAAGCAGTATTTATACAAGATATAGCAGTTTTTATATATGATTCACTTGAACATTTTTTAAATTCAAATTTAGCACTTCTTGCGAGAAGAATCTACTTAAATAATACAAAATACTCTATTGTTTTGTATCTATATTTGACAAAACTTACAAAAGGTTAGTGATAGAAATAATTATTTCATTTTAAATAAATATGTAAGTATATTTTTAGACGGTTATCAGACTATCTAGCACATTTTTAGATTACCCAGAACATATTTAGACTACCTACTACATTTTTAGACTATCTAGAACGTTTCGTAATTATTCAGATAATTTCTAGGCTTTTCAGGGCATTTTCAGATTATTCAAGACATTTACAGACTATCTAGAATATTTTTAGACTGTCGAGAACATTTTTAGACTATCCAGAATATTTTTTAGAACATTTACTTAGTTTATTATCTTTTATTCATTTATTTATTGTATTTATTATATTATATTTTTATTTATTTATTATCATTAGTTTATAATTTGTGCTTTATTATTGCCTTGGGCGTTGAATAAATAAATAAATAAATTTACAGACTACCTAGAACAATTTTAGACCATCTTTCAACATTTTAAGACTTTCCAATGTGTATTAATTCTTTTTAATTTAATTTTTAATCCTAAAAAATGTTCAAATTTTAAATTTGAAATTAGCGGTTTTAGTAAATGACAAATTCATGCTTTTACAAAAATGGAGATCACGTCTGTTGACAGTTTTTATTTAACTTTAAAGGTTTTGTTTAAAGGATTAGTTTAATGTTATAGGAATTAAACGAAGTAATTGTGAAAGTTAATTTCAGTTAAGAAACATAAAAAAGTTGAAGATTTATTTCTATATATACCACAAGTTAAATTTATTATTATTATTTAAATTCATTACATTTATTATAATAAAACAAATATTTTACATTATTTTTTGAATTTGAAATTGGCGGGTTTTGTAAATTGCGAACTTCATGCTGTAGTTTGACTTTTACAAAAATGGAGATCATGTTAGTTGATAGTATCTATTTAACTGTAAAGGTTTTTATTTAACTTTAAATATTATTGCAATTAAACGTAGAAAATGTAAAATTTTGAAAAAAGTGTGTTAAAAATACAATATATAATTAGCAGCAAGAATTAACTACTTAAATAATACAAAATACTTAAACATTTTTTAAATTTGAAAATGGCGAGTTTTGTAAATGGCGAACTTCATGCTGTAGTTTGACATTTGTAGAAATGGAGATCACTTTTATTAACTTAACTTATTGTTTATTATTATTGAAATTAAACAAAGTAAATGTAAAATTTAGATGAAAGTGTGATATAAATACAATATATAATAAACAGCAAGAATTATCTACTTAAATAACACAAAATACTTAAACATTTTTTAAATTTGAAAATGGCGGGTTTTGTAAATGGCGAACTTCATGCTGTAGTTTGACAAATGCACAAATTGTGCTAACGTTAGCCGACATTTTGAATTTACTTTTAAAAATTTTGCTGATTTTTTTTAATATTAAAGGAATTTAACGATGAAAATGTGAAATATTGAAGAAAGTGTGATATAAATACAATATATAATACGCAACAAGAAGTATTTACATAAATAATACAAAATACTTGATGGTTTTGTACATATTTTGACAGAAGAAAGGAAAGGTTAGTGATAGTAATTTAATTTTTATTTTAAACAAATATATAAGTAAAGTAGTATATTATATTCTAGTTATTCACTCAAAGATCCAACAAAATCATTAGGGATATAATTACAACAATAGATAGTTATATTTTTATTTAAATTCTAATGGCAACAGACTCTAACCTAAATATTCTGACAAAGTAAATGTATATATATTTACATATATATATATATATATATATATATATATATATATATATACTAGCTGACCCGACAGACGTCCAGTACCCTTGTCTACAGTTAAAAAAAAAACAATTTTCTGATATTCCAATGTTTATTCCCATATAACTATTATCCCCAAGGTTTAACATGTGTGGTAGAACCGCAACATCCCTCTGTGCCGAAGACGTGTGCTCAGCATGCACCTACCACGACAAAACAACCTCCACACTCAAAAAACCCGAATGGAGACACGAGCACAACTTTGGGAAAACCTACGCACCCTCCACAAACCTTGCACCGACCGACATATCCCCAGTTCTAATATCAGCATCACATTACGGTGAAGAAGATGGTAATAGTCGTATAATCGTGCCTATGATGTGGGGCATGATACCGCCTTGGCATAAGGGTGATTATAAAACACACGGGTTGACTACGAATAATTGCCGGTTGGAGAGTATGTTGCAGTCTAAATTGTATGGACCGGCTTTCCGGAACGGGCAGAGATGTGTTGTGCTTGCTGATGGTTTTTATGAATGGCAAACTGAAGGTGATAAAAGTAAATTGAAGACACCGTACTACATATATTTACCACAGGACAAAGAGTCTACCAATTCTTGGTCCGGTGTCAACTTACTAAAGCTTGCAGGCTTGTTTAATGTCTGGTCTGATCAAAATGGTGACAAAATGTACAGTTACTCAATTATCACTTTAGAGTCCAACGATACTTTATCCTGGTTGCACCACAGAATGCCGGTGATTTTTGATAATGACAAAGATGTTGAAACGTGGTTGAATTATAAAAAGTTTTCCAAAAATGAGGCTCTGGCAGTGTTGAAGCCTTGTTGTAAGCTCAAGTGGCACGAGGTTGATCCGATGGTTAATAATTCTAGGAATAAATCGGATAAGTGTAATAAGCCTGTTGATAAAAGTAAAAGTAAAAAGAGTAGTTTTATGGATAATTGGTTGCAAGGGGCTTCGAAGAAGAGGACGTCTGAGGGTGGGGATGGGTTGGATAAGAAAGTTAAATTAGAGAAGTAATTTAGAATATATTTCTTATTATATAATAATATATTTTTGTTAATAAATTGGTTATTTTTTAAACTTATTTTAACTTTTAAAAAATGTTTACATGATTTACGAGCATGTTCAGATTGTCTAGAACGTTTTCAGACTTTCAGGAATATTTGCAGACTACCTAGAACATTTTTAAAATATTTTCAGACTGTCTAGAACATTGTCAAACTATTGAGAACATTGTTAGACTATTCAGAACATTTTCAGACTTTCTAGAACATTCAAACATGACACTCAAAGGAATATTTTCAGAATATTTTCGCATTATCTAAAACATTGTCAAACTATTGAGAACATTGTTAGACTATTCAGAACATTTTCAGACTTTCTAGAACATTTTCAGACTTTCTAGAACATTTTCAAAATATCTAGAATACTTTCAGACTATCTAGAACATTTTTAGAATACTTTCTGACTATCTATATAACATTTTCAAATTACTCAGGACATTTTGAGACTTTTCAGAATATTTTTCATCTAGAACATTTTCAGACTTTCTAGAACATTTTTCAAACATTTGTAAAATATTTTCAGACTACCTGGAACGTTTTTAGAATACTTTCTGACTATCTATATAACATTTTCAAATTATTCAGGACATTTTGAGACTTTTCAGAATATTTTTTATCTAGAACATTTTCAGAATACTTTTTCATTATCAAGAACATTTTCAAACTATTCAGGGCGTTTTCAGACTATTTAGACTTTCTAGAACATTTTCAAACTATTCAGGATGTTTACAGACATCTAGAACATTTTTAGAATACTTTCTGACTATCTATATAACATTTTCAAATTATTCAGGACATTTTGAGACTTTTCAGAATATTTTTTATCTAGAACATTTTCAGAATACTTTTTCATTATCAAGAACATTTTCAAACTATTCAGGGCGTTTTCAGACTATTTAGACTTTCTAGAACATTTTCAAACTATTCAGGATGTTTACAGACATCTAGAACATTTTTAGAATACTTTCTGACTATCTATATAACATTTTCAAATTATTCAGGACATTTTGAGACTTTTCAGAATATTTTTTATCCAGAACATTTTCAGAATACTTTTTCACTATCAAGAATATTTTCAAACTATTCAGGACGTTTTCAGACTATTTAGACTTTCTAGAACATTTTCAAACTACTCAGGATGTTTACAGACATCTAGAACATTTTTAGAATACTTTCTGACTATCTATATAACATTTTCAAATTATTCAGGACATTTTGAGACTTTTCAGAATATTTTTTATCCAGAACATTTTCAGAATACTTTTTCACTATCAAGAATATTTTCAAACTATTCAGGACGTTTTCAGACTATTTAGACTTTCTAGAACATTTTCAAACTATTCAGGATGTTTACATTTTACATTACATTATCTAGGATATTTTCAGACTATCTAAAACATTTTCAGAATACTTTCTGACTATCCATAGAACATTTTCAAATTATTTAGGACATTTTCAGACTATTCTGACTTCATAGAACATTTTCATAATATTTTTAGATTATCTAAAACATTTTCAAAATTTCTAGAATATTTTCAGACTTTCTAGAACATATCTAGAATATTTTCAGACTATCTATATAACATTTTCAAATTACTCAGGACATTTTGAGACTTTTCCGAATATTTTTTATCTAGAACATTTTCAGACTTTCTAGAACATTTTTCAAACATTTGTACAAACATTTCAAATATTTTCAGACTACCTGGAACGTTTTTAGAATACTTTCTGACTATTTATATAACATTTTCAAATTATTCAGGACATTTTGAGACTTCAGAATATTCTTTATCTAGAACATTTTCAGAATACTTTTTGACTATCAAGAACATTTTCAAGATATCCATGTCGTTCTCAGACTATTCAGACTTTCTAGAACAATTTTAGACTTTCTAAAACAATTTTCAGACTTTCTAGAACAATTTTAAGCTTTCTAGATCAATTTTAGGCTTTCTAGATCAATTTTAGGCTTTCTAGAACAATTTTGGGCTTTCTAGAACAATTTTAGACTTTCTAGAACAATTTTAGGCTTTCTAGAACAATTTTAAACTTTCTAGAACAATTTTAAACTTTCTAGAACAATTTTAGACTTTCTAGAACAATTTTAAGCTTTTTAGATCAATTTTAGGCTTTCTAGAACAATTTTAGGCTTTCTAGAACAATTTTAGACTGTCTAGAACAATTTTCAGACTTTCTAGAACAATTTTCAGACTGTCTAGAACAATTTTAGACTGTCTAGAACAATTTTAGACTGTCTAGAACAATTTTAGACTGTCTAGAACAATTTTAGACTGTCTAGAACAATTTTCAGACTTTCTAGAACAATTTTCAGACTTTCTAAAACAATTTTCAGACTTTCTAGAACAATTTTCAGACTTGCTAGAACAATTTTAGACTTTCTAGAACAATTTTAGACTGTCTAGAACAATTTTAGACTGTCTAGAACAATTTTAGACTTTCAAGAACAATTTTAGACTTTCAAGAACAATTTTAGACTTTCTAGAACAATTTTCAGACTTTCTACAACAATTTTAGACTTTATAGAATAATTTCGGAATATCTAGAACAATTTTAGAATATCTAGAATAATTTTAGGTTTTCTTGAACAATTTAAGGCTTTCTAGAACATTTTTAGAATATATAGATCAATTTTAGGCTTTCTAGAACAATTTTAGACTTTCTAGAACAATTTTAAACTTTCTAGAACAATTTTAAACTTTCTAGAACAATTTTAGACTCTCTAGAACAATTTTAGACTTTCTAGAACAATTTTAGACTTTCTAGAACAATTTTAGACTATCTAGAACAATTTCGGAATATCTAGAACAATTTCGGAATATTTTTATACCATCTGGAATATTTTCAGATACTCAAAGGAATATTTTCAGACTATTTTGAACATTTTAATAGTATTTAGGATATTTACGGACTATTCATACTTTATAGAACAAATTCAGACTATTCATACTTTATAGAATTTTTTCAAAATATTTAAAATATTTTCAGACTATCTAGAACATTTCCAGAATACTTTTGGACTATCAAGAACATTTTCAAACTTTTTCCCGGCTTTTTCAGACTATTCATCTAAAAAATATCTGAGATATTTTCAGAATATTCTCAGACTTTCTAGAACATTTTCAGAATATTTTTGAACTATCTAAAAATATTGTCAGACTATTCAGAACAGTTTCAGAATGTCTAAAATATTTTTAAAATATCTAGAACATTTTCAGACTACCTAGAACATTTTCAGAATATTTTCAGACTATCTAGAACATTTTCAAAATATTCAGACCAATTACAGATGCTTTTCAGAATGGCTAAAATATTTTTAAAATATCTAGAACATTTTTATAACACTTTCTGACTATCTTAGAACATTTTCAAATTATTCAGGACATTTTCAGATTATTTAATAATTATTTTTGGACTATCTAGAATATTTTCAGACTATTCAGAACTATTTCAGATGATTTTCAGAATGGCTAAAACATTTCTAAAATATCTAGAACATTTTCAGATGATCTGGAGAATATTTTATCTAGAATATTTTCCAATTACTCAGAACATTTACAGACGATTTTCACATTTTCTAGAACATGTTCAGAACATTTTAAAAATATTTTCAGATTCTTATCTAGAACATTTAAAATACTATCCAGAACATTTTTAGACTATGTACAATATTTTCAGGATCTCTAGAACATTTTTAGACTATCCAGAACATTTCCAGATTGTCCAGAACATTTTCAAACTATTTTAAAAATTGTTGGGCTATCCAAAACATATAGCTATAGCATTCACATCTGCAACCAAGCTAATAAAACAAATACTTTGCAAACACATTTTATTAAATCTCATTATCACGTTAAGTACGATTTAGGCAATCTACCATACTCATCTAACCTATGTTGATCGGCTTTAAATTTTAACAATAAATCTACAATATCTAATTGTTTGGCTCTATAAGCACAATGTAGCGGTGTAAATTTTCCATAAATTGATTGAATATTTACATCAAAATTACAATTTTGTAGTAAATAAATTAAAACTTGTGCCATTCCACTTTGAGCTGCCAGATGAAGTGCAGTGAGACCTGATTTTGTTTTCTTTTGTATATCTGCACCTGGTAAAATAATTGAAATATATATAAATATATATATATATATATATATATATTTATTTATTTATTTATATATTTAAAAATTTACCATGTTTTTGTACCAACAAGACCAAATCTAAATTTCCACTCAAGACAGCATCATGAAAAATGGTATTGCCACAATTATCAGCAACCTCTAACTCTTTTTCGGTAATTCCGTTTGTTAAAAAATACTTCAATAAATCCAAATGTCCGTGAAGGGCTACAAAAATCAATTTTGTACAAAAATTATGAAAAAACATTTATCATTGTTTGGCATTGAAAATATTAGAAACAAATAAAAACTGTCATCTGCCAAAAATTTCAATTCACTTATGAGCCTAGATAATATTAGAATGTAATACACAAGAAAAATGTAATGTCTACATTATTATTGCCGAAAAGCAGCTGAGATGTGCCAGGGATTAAAATAATATGAGATACAGTCAACAGTATATGATGTTAGGCAGATGAAATTATATAATTCAGTTAGACATATTATTAATGTTTAACTAATGCAGTCGTGTTTTGCCTTATTTTACTAAATCACAATACAATATGTACATTTATATGTTTAATTTATACAAAATCCACAAACATTCACATAGTTATACATGTGTATAAATCGATATATACATTTATATATTTGATTTATACAAAATCCACAAACATTCCTATAGTTATACACATGCATAAATCGATATATACATTTATATATTGAATTTAGACGAAATCCACAAATATTGCTATAGTTATACACGTGTATAAGTCGATATATACATTTATATATTTAATTTAGACAAAATCCACAAACATTCCTATAGTTATATATGTGTATAAATCGATATATACATTTATATATTGAATTTAGACAAAATCCACAAACATTCCTATACTTATACACGTGTATAAATCAATATATACATTTATATATTGAATTTAGACAAAATCCAACAAACATTCCTATAGTTATACACGTGTATAAATCGATATATACATTTATATATTGAATTTAGGCAAAATCCACAAACATTCCTATAGTTATTCACGTGTATAAATCGATATATACATTTATATATTTAATTTAGACAAAATCCACAAACATTCCTATAGTTATACACGTATATAAATCGATATATACATTTATATATTTGATTTAGGCAAAATCCACAAACATTCCTATAGTTATACACGTGTATAAATCGATATATACATTTATATATTGAATTTAGTTATACACGTGTATAAAGGGATATATACATTTATATATTGAATTTAGACAAAATCCATAAACATTCCTATAGTTATACACGTGTATAAATCGATATATACATTTATATATTGAATTTAGGCAAAATCCACAAACATTCCTATAGTTATTCACGCGTATAAATCGATATATACATTTATATATTTAATTTAGACAAAATCCACAAACATTCCTATAGTTATACACGTATATAAATCGATATATACATTTATATATTTGATTTAGGCAAAATCCACAAACATTCCTATAGTTATACACGTGTATAAATCGATATATACATTTATATATTGAATTTAGACAAAATCCACAAACATTCCTATAGTTATACACGTGTATAAAGGGATATATACATTTATATATTGAATTTAGACAAAATCCATAAACATTCCTATAGTTATACACGTGTATAAATCGATATATACATTTATATATTGGTTTTAGACAAAATCCACAAACATTCCTATAGTTATACACGTGTATAAATCGACATATACATTTATATATTGAATTTACACAAAATACACAAACATTCCTGTAGTTATACACGTGTATAAATCGATATATACATTTATATATTGAATTTAGACAAAATCCACAAACATTCCTATAGTTATACACGTGTATAAATCGACATATACATTTATATATTGAATTTACACAAAATCCACAAACATTCCTATAGTTATACACGTGTATAAATCGATATATACATTTATATATTTAATTTAGACAAAATCCACAAACATTTCTATAGTTATACACGCGTATAAATCGATATATACATTTATATATTGAATTTAGACAAAATCCACACACATTCCTACAGTTATACACGTGTATAAATCGATATATACATTTATATATTGAATTTAGACAAAATCCACAAACATTCCTATAGTTATACACGTGTATAAATCGATATATACATTTATATATTTAACAAATAACATATTTCTTTTACTACCTGTGATGTGAAGTGCAGTTCTACCATTTTTCGATTTGATCATAATGTCTTCAATATTATTTTGCCAAATAATTTTGAAAATATTTACGTCTCCAAGACGTGCTGCTAAATGCAGACAAGTCCAACCGTCTTTGTTTGAAATCAGACGTTCTGCTTTTTTGTCAATTAGGATTTGTATGCACTTGTATGCTTTTTGGAGGTTAGATGATAATTTGGCACAAGCTAACATTAAGGGTGTCCAGTCTGGACGTTTTAGCTTGTTGACATCAGCTCCTAAAGAGAAATAGATACATAAACTAGAAGAAAGTTAATAAGTCTATTATTACCTTTGTTTATTAAATACTCCAACACCTCCAAATTATGAAACTGTGCAGCATCGTGCAAAGCTGTCTTTCCATCTTTGTTAACAATATGAAGACAACTCGGAAGCCAAATTTCACATAAATATTTAACAATTTGCAAATTATTTTCTTGACTGGCTAAATGTAAAGGTGTATCACCTGTTGTTTTACAACGGCATTGACTCCAGTGTAAAATATCTTTATTTTGTAAATGTAAAAGTTTTAAATCTTCTACCGAACCGTGTTGGGCAGCATGGAGTAATTGTTTTTGTAGTAAATGACTCATTGGTAAAGGATTTATTTGTAAAAATATATTTATATATATATATATATATATATATATATATTTAATATATTATCACTGTATATTAATTTATTATATTAAACTTCAAATCCACTCAAAATTTTGTATAGTGTTTTAACATAACCTCAAACTTTTGACGTTTCTTGTTTATGTTTGACACTTGCACGTGCGCCGTGCAGGGTTTGCAAACATTTTTTTAAAATTAACTTACGAAATTATATTTGGTTACAAAACCAGGTGTAAGTGGCCTTAAGGCAAGTTGCTGTAATCAATAAGAATTAAGATTTAGCTAATTTTTAGATTAAATTTTCAACGTTTTATTACTAGTTTTCTAGCATAACCTCAATATTTTACGTTTCTTGTTTTTGTTTGACTCTTGCACGTGCGCCATGCAGGGTTTGCAAACATGTATTTTTAAATTAACTTGCGAAATTAGATTTTGGTACAAAACTTTATTTTTATCTAAAAACTAGGTGTAGGTGGCATTTTGCCTTAAGGCAAGTTGCACGAATTTTTAGATATGTGTGAATAATTGATTTAATTAATAAAAATTGAGATGTAGCTAATTTTTAGAGTAAATTTTGAACGTTTTATTTTAAAAATAAAGTTTTTGCCAAATGTAAAAGTAATGAAGAGTGATTTGTAAGTAAACCGAGTTTCTGTAGGGTCTTTTATAATGTTAGAAACTATTTGTTGGATTTATATTAGAATTTGTATGAAATTTAAACACATTTTTAACAAGGGATAAGCACAGACTCACTAATTATATATTTAAAATAGTCTATAATATTCTATAAAATAGTTTTTATATAAAAACTTTGTCAGCAAAAATCGAATATTTGCCCAGGACATACACAGTGTATGTCCTAAGGGCGCGTTTTGACATTCCAAATTTTATTGAGTTAATGAAATATACGAAAACTAGTGGTGTATGACATCGTGCCTTAAGGCAAATTGCTGGAACTTCCCGTACCATAATTAAATATTCGAGCAAAAAACTTAATAATCGATAAATATTGATCAATGATTCATAACAATTGTTTAAAATATTTTTCACAAAATAATTTCAATTACTATATATTTTATCGTTCATATATTATACAGTGACGATGTTATTGCAAAAAAACACTTAAGAATGTTTACATTAACAAGAGATGTCGAATAAATCTATCTGAGGATATATTTCTTACTATTACAATAACGCATTTGAAATATATACATTTTTAAACTGAATTGTAAATTTAAAATTTACAAAATACTTGAAAATGTTTACATTAAGAAGAAATTAGTTTTGATCTAAAAGATTAAAAAAGTAAAAAGATTAAGGATTAAAGAGTAAAAAAGACTTTACTGACGAGCAAATAAAAAATCGAATAGTTAAAATATGATTATAAATTTTATCTTAAAGTTAAAAAGGAATTCTACTGACAAGCCAACGAAGTTTTGATCGATAAGAAAATACAAAAAAGACTTTACTGACGATCAAATTTGAAACTAGCAAATATAAAAAGGACTCTACTGACAGGCAAACTAAAAGTTGACAAAAAAGTTCAAAAGACTACTGACAAGAAAACTTTAATTTCAACTTAGAAAAAGAAAAAGGACTCTACCGGTAAGCAAATTTAATTTAGATACTAAAACGGACTGTACCGATAAGCAAAAATATTAATAAAAAATGTTTTGTGAAAGAGACTCTACTGAAGAGCAAATTTTAATTTCAATCTAGAAGACAAGAAAGGGACTCTACTGACGAGCAAAATATGAATAAGAAACGTCTCTAAAAAAGAACTCTACTGACGAGCAAACTCAATTTTAATATAAAATATTTAAAAATGGACTTTACTGGCGACCAAATTTGAAATTCGTAAATATGAAAAAAGATTCTACTGTCTAAGGACTCTATTGAGGAGTAAATTAAACTTAATTTTTATATATAAGATCTAAAAAAAAGGACTCTACAGAGGTGCAAATTGAATGTCGTCTGGAAAAAAGTAAAAATAAATACAAGCAGTCAATGAATGTAGGTTAATTTTAATTACACGAAGTTCTTCAAACACAATTATTACATGATGAGTGAAATTGCGAAAACAATATTTGTTTAGGCGTTGTTTAACATAATCCACTGTGTGAAGGAATATTATAGAATTTATTAATCAGCAATTACTTCATTTCTCTAATGAAGGTTCAAGTCCTAGATGCTAAATTACAATGACAAACCGATCATGTCGTATTTGAAGTATGACTTTAATTACATTATTGTTTTTGAATATTATAAATATTTTTAACGCTTTTATGAATATATAATTTATAGTTTATCATTATATAAATGGGTATAATGGTTGACTTGACACTAATAAATGTGTGCATCACGAGTGTTACCTACCATATTACTAATGAACATTATTCAAAATTGTTATATGATGTATTTATTTTTACTTAAATGCCATTTTGTACAGTAGCAAATAAGTTTTACTTCAATTGCGTGTGAACCTTACGCGCACTCTTTTTTTATATACAATAACCAATTACATATTATATTTTCAGTATGGACCAAATTCGCGACAACTACCACCACATTGATCCTGGTATTACATACACCAAACAAAACATACCATGTCTTATAGATTTGGACGATCTTGAATCCTTGCACGTCAACGATTTATTCGAGTACGAATTATCAGATAGTTGCCAATGCACTACAGAATGTTCTTCCGAAACCAACTGCCCTTGCATTGCCAAATTTGGCCAAAACTACCAAAAGGGTAAATGATACATCGAAATATACATTTATATATTGAATTTAGACAAAATCCACAAACATTCCTACAATTATACACGTGTATAAATCGACATATACATTTATATATTGAATTTAGACAAAATCCACAAGCATTCCTATAGTTATACACGTGTATAAATCGATATATACATTTATATATTTAATTTAGACAAAATCCACAAACATTCATATAGTTATACACGTGTATAAATCGATATATACATTTATATATTGAATTTAGACAAAATCCACAAACATTCCTATACTTATACACGTGTATAAATCGATATATACATTTATATATTGAATTTAGACAAAATCCAACAATCATTCCTATAGTTATACACGTGTATAAATCGATATATACATTTATATATTGAATTTAGACAAAATCCACAAGCATTCCTATAGTTATACACGTGTATAAATCGATATATACATTTATATATTTAATTTAGACAAAATCCACAAACATTCCTATAGTTATACACGTGTATAAATCGATATATACATTTATATATTGAATTTAGGCAAAATCCACAAACATTCCTATAGTTATACACGTGTATAAATCGATATATACATTTATATATTTAATTTAGACAAAATCCACAAACATTCCTATAGTTATACACGTGTATAAATCGATATATACATTTATATATTGAATTTAGACAAAATCCACAAACATTCCTATAGTTATACACGTGTATAAATCGATATATACATTTATATATTTAATTTAGACAAAATCCACAAACATTCCTATAGTTATACACGTGTATAATTCGATATATACATTTATATATTTAATTTAGACAAAATCCACAAACATTCCTATAGTTATACACGTGTATAAATCGATATATACATTTATATATTGAATTTAGACAAAATCCACAAACATTCCTATAGTTATACACGTGTATAAATCGATATATACATTTATATATTGATTTTAGACAAAATCCACAAACATTCCTATAGTTATACACGTGTATAAATCGATATATACATTTATATATTGATTTTAGACAAAATCCACAAACATTCCTATAGTTATACACGTGTATAAATCGATATATACATTTATATATTGAATTTAGACAAAATCCACAAACATTCCTATAGTTACACACGTGTATAAATCGATATATACATTTATATATTGAATTTAGACAAAATACACAAACATTCCTATAGTTATACACGTGTATAAATCGATATATACATTTATATATTTAATTTAGACAAAATCCACAAACATTCCTATAGTTATACAAGTGTATAAATCGATATATACATTTATATATTGAATTTAGACAAAATCCACAAACATTCCTATCGTTATACACGTGTATAAATCGATATATACATTTATATATTGAATTTAGACAAAATCCGCAAACATTCCTATAGTTACACACGTGTATAAATCGATATATACATTTGTATATTGAATTTAGACAAAACACACAAACATTCCTATAGTTACACACGTGTATAAATCGATATATACATTTATATATTTAATTTAGACAAAATCCACAAACATTCCTATAGTTATACACGTGTATAAATCGATATATACATTTATATATTGAATTTAGACAAAATACACAAACATTCCTATAGTTATACACGTGTATAAATCGATATATACATTTATATATTGATTTTAGACAAAATCCACAAACATTCCTATAGTTATACACGTGTATAAATCGATATACACATTTATATATTGATTTTAAACAAAATCCACAAACATTCTTTTAAATTTACACGTGTATAAATCGATATATACATTTATATATTGAATTTAGACAAAATCCACAAACATTCCTATAGTTATACACGTGTATAAATCGATATATACATTTATATATTTAATTTAGACAAAATCCACAAACATTCCTATAGTTATACACGTGTATAAATCGATATATACATTTATATATTGAATTTAGACAAAATCCACAAACATTCCTATAGTTATACACGTGTATAAATCGATATATACATTTATATATTGAATTTAGACAAAATCCACAAACATTCCTATAGTTATACACGTGTATAAATCGATATATACATTTATATATTGAATTTAGACAAAACACACAAACATTCCTATAGTTACACACGTGTATAAATCGATATATACATTTATATATTTAATTTAGACAAAATCCACAAACATTCCTATAGTTATACACGTGTATAAATCGATATATACATTTATATATTGAATTTAGACAAAATCCACAAACATTCCTATAGTTATACACGTGTATAAATCGATATATACATTTATATATTGATTTTAGACAAAATCCACAAACATTCCTATAGTTATACACGTGTATAAATCGATATATACATTTATATATTGAATTTAGACAAAATCCACAAACATTCCTATAGTTATACACCTGTATAAATCGATATATACATTTATATATTTAATTTAGGCAAAATCCACAAACATTCCTATAGTTATACACACGTGTATAAATCGATATATACATTTATATATTGAATTTAGACAAAATCCGCAAACATTCCTATGGTTATACACGTGTATAAATCGATATATACATTTATATATTGAATTTAGACAAAATCCACAAACATTCCTATAGTTATACACGTGTACAAATCTATATATACATTTATATATTGAATTTAGACAAAATCCACATACATTCCTATAGTTATACACGTGTACAAATCTATATATACATTTATATATTGAATTTAGACAAAATCCACAAACATTCCTATAGTTATACACGTGTATAAATCGATATATACATTTATATATTGAATTTAGACAAAATCCACAAACATTCCTATAGTTATACACGTGTACAAATCTATATATACATTTATATATTGAATTTAGACAAAATCCACAAACATTCCTATAGTTATACACGTGTATAAATCGATATATACATTTATATATTTAATTTAGACAGAATACACAAACATTTCTATAGTTATACACATGTATAAATCGATATATACTAGGCTTGCACCGAATATTCGGTTACTACGAATAGTTAAAATCAAAGGCACCGCCGCCGCTCAGCGCCAGTATTGTTTGAGTTTTAACTTTTATACGATAAAGAGCTCGCGATGGATGAAGAAATGATTTCGTTATTGTATATATATAATAACTTAAACTTTATCGACTTTTGAGATATTGAGATTTATACAAGTGTATAAATAGATATATACATTTATATATTGAATTTAGACAAAATCCGCAAACATTCCTATGGTTATACACGTGTATAAATCGATATATACATTTATATATTGAATTTAGACAAAATCCACAAACATTCCTATAGTTATACACGTGTATAAATCGATATATACATTTATATATTGAATTTAGACAAAATCCACAAACATTCCTATAGTTATACACGTGTATATAAATCGATATATACATTTATATATTTAATTTAGACAAAACCCACATACATTCCTGTAGTTATACACGTGTATAAAACGACATATACATTTGTATATTTAATTTAGACAAAATCCACAAACATTCCTGTAGTTATACACGTGTATAAATCGATATATACATTTATATATTTAGATGATTTAATTCTGCACCCGGATAACATAGATGCACCACATATAGAATGCGGTAGAAGATGCAAATGTTCACCAAAATGTGGTAACAGACTTGTGCAATATGGACCAAGACTTGGCCTGGAGATTTTTGATACCAAGGGTAAAAATTTGGGTTTAAAATCAACCCTTAGGATTCCCAAATTTGGTTTCGTTTGCGAGTACGCAGGAGAAGTTTTAACCCCAAAATTAGCCCGCCAACGTTTTCAAGACAACAAATTAAATTCCCTCATGAATTACATTTTTTGCCTAAACGAATACACATCTGGTAATCAACTTACCAGGACTTTTATAGATCCTGGTAAGTGTGGTAATATTGGACGATATTTGAACCATAGTTGTGACCCTAATTGTTTTATTGTGCCAATAAGGGTTGATATCAATGTGCCAAAACTTTGTGTTTTTACTTTGAGGGATGTTGGGGTTGGTGAGGAATTGACTTTTGATTATGGTGATGGACAACAAGGTGAAGGTACTCGTTGTTTGTGTGGAGCAAGGGTTTGTAGAGGGTTTTTGCCTTTCGATATTGAAAATTCAGCGTAAGCAATATACTGGGTACGAAGTTTTAATGTTACTTTTTTAACTTCCCGTAGGGTAAGTTATAGTAATCGTCCAAAAATCGAAATCAAAAATTTTTACATTTCTCGACGTTTTGAAGGTTTCTGAACATTTTGGCATACCTCAGAAAAAATGGATGTGTGTGTGTGTGTGTGTTTTGTATGTCCGCTTTTTTTCGTCCACGTTTTCGGGCGCACGGATCAACCGATTTGAATGGTTTAAAAAACATTCGATTCCTATTGATAGGGAGATGTGCTGATTAGTTTTTGGCAAAGGCAGGTCCAGCCGTTACGGAGATATGGAGCAAAGAGTGCAAATAATAGAAAGCGAGTTTTTGAGAGAACGGATCAACCGATTTGAATGGTTTGAAAAACATTCGATTCCTATTGATAGGGAGATGTGCTGATTAGTTTTTTGGCAAAGGTAGGCCCAGAGGTTTCGGAGATACAGAGCTAAATTTTAAAAAATGGCAGTTTTTGAGTAGAACTAAGCGTCCGATTTAAATGATTCAAAAACTTTCTGCTTGTTTCAACAAATAATTGATTTTGGAAAAAAAAATTTTGTTTCTAATTTTTTTTTCAAAAAATTTTTTTTGTAATTTTGGACTAAAAATTCAAAAAATCGCCCAGGCTAAGCACAGTCTAAGTGCCACTCTGGTACAAATGTTTACCCAAGTGCGTTTAGACTGTTTATGTATTGGGGCACTTTTCCAATTTTGTGAAAATTATTGAAAAATGTGAAAATGCCGCCAAGCTAAGCACAGTATAAGTGAAAATGTCGCACAGAATTATTTGCAAATGCGTTTAGACTGTGACTATGGCGGGAGCACTTTTTCAATTTTTGTGTAAATTTCGGAGATCTAGTAAAAAAAAACTAAAAAAAAATACCATTTGGCGGTCAACAATAATCATTAGACATTAGACATATGCACATCAAATTATCAGATATTTTATAGAGATTTTAAACAATGAGTATACATTTTGTTTACATTCCTATGGGTTCCGTACCAATGTTTATCCGTTAGACGGCGACGCGGCGCTTACGCGCTTCGATTTTTAGTCTCTATGCATTGCTTTGAAAAAAAGTTCAGAATTTCCAAAATATTCCAAAATAAATTTTTCAACAAAAAGTAAGTTTCTGTCAAAAATTTATAGTTTCTAAAAAATCAATTTTATCAGAGTAAATTTTTTTCAAAAATGTTAATCTTTTTAAAAAATAATAATTTTTGGTACGGGAAGTTCCAGCAATTTGCCTTAAGGCACGATGCCATGCGCCCCACTAGTTTTCTGCTAATTTTAACAATCAGATTACAATACAATCTATAAGTTAAAAGTTATGGTATTGAAAATCAAAATCAAGAAGAAAAACAAAATAGAATAAAAGAAATTAAAGAAAAGAAATAGAATAAATAAATGAATAAATAATAATTAAAATAATAGTATTAATAATAAAAACGATAATCAATAATAAATAATAATTAAAAATAACTTGTTTGAAAATTTTCCTGTGCGAAACGGAGAAAATTATGTTGTTGACGGTAGATCACTGGGTCATTTTTTTTTAATGCTAAATACCTTAGAAAACATGATTGTGTGTGTGCACTTATATAATATATTTGAAAACTGTGCGCACTTATACAAACATCAATCGACGATTACAGGAGCACGGTTCAACCGATTTGAATGATTCAAAAAAAACATTCGATTTCTATTGATGAGTAGGAAATCGGCATAGATAAACATTTTAATGTTACATCGTAGTACAAATCTTGATTTAACTAGTAGTGTATAGCATCGGGCCTTAAGGCAAATTGCTGGAACTTCCCGTACCGTAATGACGTATTCGAGAAGTTCTAAACGTTTTCAAATATATTATTACAAATACTGTAACTTTCATTATTTTTACTATCTTGTTATATCTGAGTGAGCAAGTCAAATGCAAATCATAAATCAATTATTACATTAACAATCGTCATTTCATTTCGAATTCAAGTTAAAAAAAAATAGTTGCCTAATTTGCACAAAATTGAAAAAGTCACAGTCTAAACGCATTTGCAAATAATTCTGTGCGACATTTTCACTTATACTGTGCTTAGCTTGGCGGCATTTTCACATTTTTCAATAGTTTTCTCACAAAATTGGAAAAGTGCCCCAGTACGTAAACAGTCTAAACGCACTTGGGTAAACATTTGTACCGGAGTGGCGCTTAGACCGTGCTTAGCCTGGGTAATTTTTTGAATTTTTAGTCCAAAATTACAAAAATATTTTATGGAAAATAAAAAAAGATGTAATAATTTTCATTTTCGATTTTCGGTCCATTACTATAACTACCCTACGGGAAGTTAATAAAGTTTCAGTGTTTTCTGAACTTTTTGGCATTTTTTAGAAAACATGATTGTATGTATGTGCGGATACAATTTTCCATCGGCGATTACGAGAGAACGGTTCAACCGATTAGAATGATGAAGAAATATGCCAATTAGTTTTTGAGGAAGACAGGTCCAGACGTTTTGGAGATACTGGGCAAAGAGTACAGGAAATACAAATCGAGTTTTTGAGAGACAAGTGCAAAATATTGCAATTAAGTTTTTGACAAAACGGAGAAACCGATTAGAATAATTCAAAAAACATTCGATTCCTATTGATAGGGAGATGTGCTGATTAGTTTTTGGCAAATGCAGGTCCAGATGTTTAGGAGATATTGAGCAAAGAGTTCAAAAAATTGCAACTAAGTTGCAAACTAAAAAACAATATCAGTGCTAAGAAAAGGGACTCTACTGATAACTTAAAAAAAAATCATAAATGTTAAAAAGGGACTCTACTGACGAGCAAACTTAAAAATATGATCATTGTTTAAAGAAAGGACCATACTGACGAGCAAACTGAAATAGTATCATTGCTGAAAGAAGGGACTCTACTCACGAGCAAAAAATAGTATAACAAAAGGGATTCTACTGACTAAAAAATAGTGTCAATGTTAAGAAGAAGGGTAAGAGACTCTACTGACAAGCAAACTAAAGAAAATTTGATCAGTGTTTTGATCACGGTGCATCCGATTAGAATGATTAAAAAAAACATTCAATTCCTATTGATGGGGAGACGTGCTGATTAGTTTTTGGAAAAGGCAGGTCGAGACGTTTCGGAGATACGGAGCAAAATGTGGAAAAAATTGCAATCAAGTTTTTGAGAGAACGACGCATCCGATTAGAATGTTTCAAAAAACATTTTACTTGTATTGACGCAATGAAGAAGTGATTACATTTTTGGGAAGGGCAGGTCCAATGGTTTCGGAGGTGCAGACAAAAGGTAAATATGTTTTATATTATTTTTTGGCGAGCAAAAAAAGTCAGTAAACCATTGCATTTCTATTTTATCCAAGAATTGGTTCCAAAATTAAAATATAACGATGAAAAATATCAAAAGATAAATAAAATACAAATTTCCAAAAACGAAAAATTTCCAATGATCTAATAAATAGCCATTTGTAAACGCTAATATTATTATTATTATATTATCTTATTATTGCTAATATTGTTATTTTGTTATATTTATTATTATTTGTAAATTATTGTTTTTGTAAAATTATCATTTTATTTATTCAGAAATTTTATTATTATTATTATTATTATTATTTGCTTTTATTTTATATTAAATCATCATAATACGGATAACATTTTAATGTAAATACTTTTCTTTCTATTTTGTACTCTATTTTATTTATATTTGTTATTATTCACTTATGTTACTAGAGGTTATATTATTTAGCAGTTGTAACAAATATTGTGATTAAAAAACCAAGATCTAGTTTTCAAAAGTCTTGAATTTTGTTTAATTTTTGACAAGTATGATTATTAAATTAAAATTTAAATTTATTTAAACATTTTATATTTATAAATGATTGTTACTAAAAATAAATTATTAAGTACCATGTAAATTTTAAGTTAATAATAATATTTAAATTTATAAAAATTCTCTGTTTAAAAATTTAAATTTTTACTAAAGTTTTTGTATAGTTTTTTTTTATTAAAGTTGTTAATTATTATAGTTATAGTTATTAATTTTACAAAAAAATATTTATATAAAAACTTGAATTAATTTTTATCAATGTCAAGGTAAAGGACTCTACTGACGAGCAAATTCAAGTTAAAATTAACGATGTTAAGAAAAGGGACTCTACTGACGAGGAAACTAAAAAAAAATTCAATAAAACATTGCATTTCTATTTTATCCTTAATTGGTTCCTAAAATTAAAATATAACGATGAAAAAAATATCAATACATAAACAAAATACAAATTTTTTTTTTTTTTTATAGTTTTCAAAAATCTTTAAATTTTGTTTAATTTTTGACAAGTATGATTATTAAATTAAAATTTAAATTATTTATTTAAACAATTTATATTTATAAATGATTGTAACTTAAAATAAATTTATAAGTACCATGTAAATTTTAAGTCACTAATAATATTTAAATTTATAAAAATTCTTAGTGTTAAAATTCAAATTTTTACTAAAGTTCTTGTATAGTTTTTTTATTAAAGTTGTAAAGTAATTTTTACAAAAAATTATTTTTTTAAAAAATAGAATTATTTTTTAATTATGCCTCCGAAGAAAAAAGGAAAAAAAGGTAAGGAGAAGAAGAGAAAAAGCCACAGTTGCCAGAAGTGGATAAAACTTTCTACGAATTGCAAATTGCTGATATCAATCGAAAATTGGCAAGGCTGCGCCTTGAAAATGAAACTTTAAGGCAATCGAACGAGGAGATGTCGACTAGTGTGAAAAGTTTGCAAGAAGACAGGTCAGTAAAGTAACAGATACGTTGAAATAACGTAACAGATGTAACGTAACCGTAACAGACATGTAACACGTGTAACGTAACTGTTACGTACAAGTACGCGTTTAATAAATTATATAACTTGGTAGTAGTTTTGTATGTAGCGACTAGGAATTAATATTATTAATAATAATATTACATTTTATCTATTATTTTGTAAATCTTACTTACATTTACATTTACAACAAAAATTTATATGGGTATGTTCATAGTTAATGTTCATAGTTTCTTAAAAATATAATTTAAGAAGATTTTTTTAATTTGTACTATGGTGTATTAATATTTATTTTTAATTTTATTAATTGAGTTTTAGTTTTTAATGTTTTTATGTTTTTAATTAATCTTTTTTTTTATTTTTAGGAGTGATGTGATAGATCATTTAAAAAGAGTTGCTGATAAAAAGGAGCAGGAAGCTGAGACTGTAAGGGCTGAATTGAAGCATTTGATTTTGGAAAGGGAAGAGGAGCAGAAGGGTTTCAAGAAGGCTATGGATGATGCCAAAGAAGAATATAGGTACGTTTATTATATATATATATATATATATATATATATATATATTAGTTTGAGTTAAAAAGTCGTGCGTTACATCAATGAAAATAGCATGAGTTTCTAGAAATCTATTTAAAATCCATACATTTCGGCTAGCATCTTAGCCTTCATTCAGTGACAATCAATTTAACTATAAAAATTAAAACTAACTAAATAATATCTAAGAAATTTCATAAAAAATCAACAACAATAATAATAATAATAATAATAAAGAAAACACTTCCAATCTTGTATCCTAATATAACATATGAAACCATTATTAATCCATGCTATGAGTATGTGCACATTGATAAAATATATATTTTTTAACATCGCAGATGGTAAAACACACAAATAAACATCTGTTAAAATTTTACGGGAAATTTAAAAAGCGATGAGATCTTGTCATTTTTTAAGAAATTTTGACACGCTATTAAGAATCCACGTGTTTGTCTCGTTCAGGGCTGTATTGTCAAAACGTTTATTTATGACTCTGTCGTTATGCAATTTAAAAACATCCCCTCAGCGAATCTTCTTTTAATTACGTTCTCTTCAAAATGTAAAATTTTAGGGTTGAAAAAATCTATATTATGGTTTAATTTAATAATATGTTTGGTTAACATTGTTTTATATTGTTTAAGATTTTTTCAGTTATTTTTATGTTGATGAAGGCGTTTACTCAGGTTTGGGCTATCATCAACATAAAAATAACTCCTAAGCAATTTAAAATTTCAATTTAGGATAGTTTACCCACAGCAACGCATGCCACATATAAATATTCCTGGAGCGCATTACTAGTCTTTGCAAGTGCCATTCTAATCTCAAACTGATTTCATTTAAATTGATTTGGCACATTTTGACATTCATAATTTATTAATTTTTGAATGACGATGCAAAACGAACTTATATTTCTGAATTATATTGTGTTATGCTAGAGTGAGATTTCAAATATTCTAGAAAAATTTACAGCCATACCATAGTTTTATCTTTAGATTATATTTTTGCTTTTTCCGCAAGCCATTCAAAAACTATGTACTTTTTGTGCATATCAGAAAATATTTATACTATGGGATAATTCTACGAATCAAATTTTGCAAGAATCGATCTGAAATTTAACTTATCTATTTTTATTGATTTGTAACCTTTCCGTCGTCAATATATAAAAATTGTTTTGCGGATAAATTTGATTTTTTCTATAATATTATATAATTACATAATTTAGCCTTGTTTGTAGTTTGCATTTTACTTCTATGTATTCAAATCTTCTATTTCTCACAAGCCTATAATATTTTAAGAGGTTCATATAAACTTTATGCATAACTTTGAAAAGTTATATCAAATTCTACACGAGTAAACATGAGATTCTAGTAATTTCATGTATATATATTCAAGTATGGGGAGAAAATACTAATAATTGTCAATATTAATAAATATAGAATAATTAAACTTTGAGCTCGAATAATTCTTAGCAAATAGATTTACCGAAAAATTATAATACACCTTTTTTGTAGAGCGTCGAATTTTTAATAAAACATAACACGAATTGTCACTTTTGATTCATTTGTCGCGGAGTTATATCTAAAAAAACAAATGGAATTTTACCTATGTTAATTTCATAAGAAACTTTGGTTGGGGTGCGGACTATCTAAAAGTTAATATTAAGAGTTAAAACTTTCAGAGAATTTTTGTTTAATAATTTGGAAGCATTTGAGCCCCTGGGAGCAAGGAAATTCGAGAATGTCTTTATTAAGGACCACCCTTATATATAAATATACATATATTATATATATATATATATATATATATATATATATATATATAATTATCTCTAGGTTGATGCACCAGCATTTAACAAACGAAATGAAACTCCTAACCGGCAAATTGAATTCTCTGGACGAATTCCGGATTTTCAGAGACGATTTAATGCGAAAATTTCAAGCTCAGGAAAACAAATCGAAAACGATGCCAAAGCTCACGCCAGACAAGTTTATGAATTGGAACGAAAATTGGTCGAGGGAAAGTGAGTAAAATATAAAAAAAAAACTTAAAATATAATGACACACTTCTACTGCCAAAACGTACAGATTGAATTACCTTAATAATTTATTTGTTTATATAATACACTTGAAATATATACATATATGAAATATATATACACTTAAAGAAACCCAGAAATATATAACATTTAATAAAAACTAGAGAGCACTTTATATATATTTGAGAATAATCTCCTTTGTTTTACTTCTAATCTTGCCTAATTATGAAAGAAATTTATTTTTCACGTTTCGTACTCTACATATGTGTCACCAATCTTATAATTTATTTGTTTATATAATACACTTGTAATATATACATATATGAAATTTATATATACACTTAAAGAAACCCAGAAATATATAACATTTAATAAAAACTGTAGAGAGCACTTTATATATATTTGAGTACAATCTGCTTCGGTTTAATTTTAATTTTGCTTAGTAATATAAGAAATTTATTCTTCACGTTTCGACACTACATATGTGTCATCAATCTTATAATTTAATTGTTTATATAATACACTTGAAATATATACGTATATGAAATATATATATACACTTAAAGAAACCCAGAAATATATACCATTCAATAAAAACTTTATACATATTTGAGAATAATCTCTTTTGCTTTACTTCTAATCTTGCCTAATTATGAAACAAGTTTATTTTTCACGTTTCGTACTCTACATATGTGTCACCAATCTTATAATTTATTTGTTTATATCATACACTTGAAATATATACATATATGAAATATATATATATATATATATATACACTTAAAGAAACCCACAAATATATAACATTTAATAAAAACTATAGAGAGCACTTTATATATATTTGAGTACAATCTTCTTCGGTTTACTTTTAATTTTGCTTAGTAATATAAGAAATTTATTCTTCACGTTTTGACACTACATATGTGTCATCATTCTTCTTTTAGGAGTAAATTGAAAAAAATGATGGAAGAAAAATTGTTCCAACTCTCCAACGATTTTCACGACGCCGCCGAAATTTGCATCGCCGATACAAGTCGTCGTGTTATTAGGGAAAATATAGCTTTGAATAACGAATTGGACTCGATGATGGCTAATTATGTAAATATAATATATTTAGAAAAAAAACACCAATTAATATTTAATATTTAAAAAAATAATTATTATTATTATTTTAGGTGAAACTGCAAGAAGAGTTGAAGGAAACTACAAAACGCGACAAGGAGTTGGTGCTGAAATCGCAGATTGACTGTAAGTGTAATTTATTTATAATTATATATAATATAATATAATATATTTATTTATTTTTATTTATTTATAATTTGTTTTTTCATAGCTGATGATATCAAGTATCTCCATCGTTCGAATTTTATGCAGAAGGAGTTGCTCAAGAAATTTAGAGACAAGACTGAATTGCTTGTTGAAAAGTAAGACAAAATTTATATATATATATATATAATATATGTGTGTGTGTGTGTGTGTGTGTGTCAACGTTTCGGCACTTGATGCGTGTCATCATTCAGCCATCTAAAAAACATATTACAATAAATACAAAGTTGATAATAAATATAAATATATAAAAAGGAGAAAATTATACATACCAACCAGGAAAAACAACAGAAAACAATTAAATAATGATCTAAAACAATTTTTATTTATTCAATTATTTATAAATTATTTATTTGCTCAATAAATTTTACATAATTATTTAGTTTTTTCTGTTGTTTTCCTGGTTTGGTAGTATAGCTATTTCTATGTTATGTTAGATTCGCTAAAACCCGAAAACGGCTGAACCGATTTGGCCACTTTTAGTCTTGAAATATTCGTGTTAATCCAGAGATTGTGGGAAAGGTGAGATATTATTTCAAAACCGCGTAGAAACTTTACTTTTTAATTTGAAAATTTTATGTAGAAGCGAAATTTAAATAAAATTATAGACGGCGGGCTTTTACGTCGAATGTCAAATGGTTTTGACATATGTTCAATTAAATTTAATATAGTTTAGATGAATATTATTTAAATTTAGTGTGTACTTTTGTTTGTAATTGTATTTATACACAAAAACGTTATTCAACGGATCGCAAATGTTACTACAAACTCAACAATATCAACTTTTTGAAATGTTAGTTTGAAAATGCACTTTTTGGCGTTATAGCGCCCTTTTTTGCAAATTATATATTTTTTTCAAAGTTAGTACTCTGGAAGAACTCATTTGCATATTTAAACTCATTTGCGTTCATAATTTTTTTATATACTACTACAAGGAAACAAATTTTTAGAATTAATAATATAACAATTAACAAATGAGATTCTAAATACCAAACCAGGAAAAAACAGGGGAGTGATAGAAAATCAGATTTACAGAAATAATTACATTTTGATAGGTTTCTGAAAGTAAGCAAGAAAACTACGTTTATTTACATCATTTGAATTTAAAAAGATAAAACAAGATTCGGAAAATCTTCCAAGGTCCGCATTTTTTTTCTTTTATAAAATTACAGGATGGTCAGTATTAAAAGCGTGTTTGAAGTTAATATGTGCTCAGAAAATATTGTTTTTAAATTGTTTGGATTTTTTAAGTTATAAATGTTTTATTTATATAAAGAAAAATTGTGTACCGTAGATTTTACTAATCGTTTTTTTTTTTAACTTCCCGTAGGGTAAGTTATGTAATGGGCCGAAAATCGGAATTGAAAATTTTACATTTCTCGACGTTTTGAAGGTTTCTGAACATTTTGGCATACCTCAGAAAAAATGGATGTGTGTGTGTGTGTGTGTGTGTGTGTATGTATGTATGGATACAAATTTTCGTCCACGTTTTCGGGCGTACGGATCAACCGATTTGAATGGTTCAAAAAACATTCGATTCCTATTGATAGGGAAAAGAGCTGATTAGTTTTTGGCAAAGGCAGGTCCAGCCGTTTCGGAGATACGGAGCAAAGAGTGCAGAAAATAGAAATCGAATTTTTGAGCGAACGGACTATCCGATTTGAATGATCTAAAAAACATTCAATTAGTAAAGATTGGGAGAAGTGGTTATTAGTTTTTGGCAAAGGCAGGCCCAGCCATTTTGAAGATACGGAGCTAAATATGTAAAAAATGGCAGTTTTTGAGAGAACTACTAGTCGTCCGATTTAAATGATTCAAAGAACTTTCTGCTTGTCTTAACAAAAATATTGATTTTGAAAAAAAAATTTGTTCCAATTTTTTTTTTTTTTTTTTAGTATTTTGTATATCGAAAATATTTCAGATTTTATTTTTAATTCTGACTATAGTTCTAATATACTTTACAAATAATTTCAACTCTGCAATTCGGTTTATATAATTCTTATAAATATTACACAATGTTACAATATTCATAATAATCTATTTGAAAACATTCAGTATTCCACGAACATTTCGTTACGGTGCGGGAAGTTCCAGCAATTTGCCTTAAGGCACGATGCCATAATTGCCTCAAGAAATTCCACTTACAGCTAGTTTACATTTGTGCGGTTTCTATATTATTCTTAGCTTCTATAAATCTTTGAAGTTATTCAAATGGAAAATATTTTTATAGGCTAGACAGATATTTCAGGTGTTCAAAGAATGAGATTATATCGCCAGCGCAAAAGTAAAAAAAAATTCAAGCAGTCAATGAATGTATGTTAATTTTCATTACATGAAGTTCTTCAAACACAATTATTACAGGATGAGTTAATTTGCAAAAACAATATTTGTTTAGGCGTTGTTTAACATAATCCACTGTGTGAATGAATATTATAGAATTTATTAATAAGCAATTACTTTAAAACGATCATGTCATATTTCAAGTACGACTTTGATTACATTATTGTTTGTAAATATTATACAATTTAAATGCTATTATAATATAAAAATTTATAATTTATCATTATATAAATGTGTATATTGGTTGACACTAATAAATGTGTGCATCGCGAGTGTTGCCATATTACTAATAAGCATATTATTCAAAATTGTTTATAATGTATTTATTTACAATTGAAATGCCATCCTGTGATAACAAAAAAGTTTTACTTCAATAGCATGTGAACCTTAAAGGCACTTTATTTAGGTAGATGCAGCAATCGTCTCCAGCAACAAGCAACGAGAGACAATATTGCTTTGAAAGACACACAACTCAAGTTGCAAAATACAATTTTTAGACAGAGAGTTGCCGAGCAGAATTTGCATGCTTTGAGGTGCTCCATTGCAGAACAGAAGAGGGAAAACGAGTTTTGAAAAGAAACTTTCTGGACATAGGAAGAACATTATCAAAGTCACCTTGCTATCGGTAAGGAAACAGATCATGGAATTTATTACCGTCAGTAGAGTTCCTTCTTTTAACATTGATCATTTCTCTTCAGTTTGCTCGTCTGTAGAGTCCCTTCTTTTAACAATAATATTTCTTAGTTTGCTCGTCAGTAGAGTCTTTTTCTTTACCAATGATAATATTCTTCAGTTTGTTCGTCAGTAGAGTCCCTTCTTTTAAATAAATTGTCTTTAACAATAATATTTCTTAGTTTGCTCTTCAGTAGAGTCTCTTTTCTTAACATTGATAATTTTATTTTAGTTTGCTCGTCAGTAGAGTCCCTTTTCTTAAAATCTTAAAATCTTAAATATTGATAAATATTGATAACTTTTTTTAGTTTGCTTGTCAGTAGAGTCTTTTCTTTTACCAATGATAATATTCTTCAGTTTGCTCGTCAGTAGAGTCCCTTTTCTAAAATCTTAAAATCTTAAATATTGATAAATATTGATAACTTTTTTTAGTTTGCTTGTCAGTAGAGTCTTTTCTTTTACCAATGATAATATTCTTCAGTTTGCTCGTCAGTAGAGTCCCTTTTCTTAAAATCTTAAAATCTTAAATATTGATAAATATTGATAACTTTTCTTAGTTTGCTTGTCAGTAGAGTCCCTTCATTTAAAATTGATATTTTTCAGTTTGCTCGTCAGTGGAGTCCCTTCATTAAAATTGATATTTTTCAGGTTGCTCGTCAGTAGAGTTCTTTTTCATAATGTTGATGATGTTTTTTTAGTTTGCTGGTCAGTAGAGTCCCTTTTCTTAATAAAATCACTCTTTCCAGTAAAGTTATCAAATATCTTTGATCAAACGAATTATTTCAATCTTTCTCTATTTCTATTATTATAGTAGAGTCCCTTCTCATGACATTGATATTTTATTTCCAATTTGCTTGTCAGTAGAGTCCTCTTTTTGAAGACCAATATAAAATCCATGATGGAATCAAATATTTTTGATCTTAGGTCAGATACAATTATAGAAATATGTAAAATTATATTTTAATCCTCGACAGTAG